CAACGATCTCTTTATATAAAGATTTTTATTCGAAGAGACCACAGTGCAGCACTTTTATTTTATAGCAATTTTCACGAAAATAATCGCTTTCCATAGAGGTTCGATCAGGTCGATCGATCCATTCGATCAACACAAAACTCGTTCAGTTAGAAAGAGGTAATATAACTTTGTTAATGATTGTTCCGGATTTTATTGCAAAGTTTTTAGGCCTCTTGTGAACATGCTTGAAATCATTACAACTTAAGTCATCTTCTTCTTTTGCTTCTACACCTATAATTTTTGTGTCTATTAAAGAGCCGCCAAGATGAAATTAAAAAATACACGAGTATGACTTTTCAGTTAACTGATGCTAAACGAAATCATCAAGTAAGAAAAAGTTACAAATAAACTGACAAAAAGTTACAGTTTTTAAGACTTTTCTCAGCCTAATACCTAAAAATCATCACTGAGAAAAGCGACAAAACCTTATTCTTGGCAGAGACAATAGATGCACATTCTTTCAAGAAAATGTGTCTTGTGAGAACTATATTGCTAGCGATGTAAGATTTTGTCAGACTCAAAAATGGATGAGAGCAATTTGATAACTCGACGAGTTCGGTGCTTGTTTTTTTCAACAGCTTATGTCACCACGATCGTACAACAGTTTTGTTTAGAGCATTAACAGAAGGGCAAAATTGCTCTTTTCACTATCCTTAGCATCAAAGGAACTTGTTAAAACAAAACTATGAATCTTCCAAATTTTTGAGAGAGTTTTGTTTCAATCTACCGCAGAACTTTTGATGTTTGATGTTGTGTCGATATAAATTTTGATATTCCAGTACGGAAGGAACTCCTTGATTGGATTAAGTATTGCAAATTATCAGTAGGTTAACATCTCCACACTTTTGCTTAACTATCTGATTCCGCATTTGAGGTTGCTAATTAAGCGTTAATCATTTGATCATTCATTTATTTACCCTTATAACCATTACTGATAGCATATAATGGTTTTGCTTCTAACACTATTACGTGATGTGATATGATGCACAGTAGCGAAGCGCTCATACGTATACGTTATCTGTTTATTTGTTTATTATTTGAAGTTTGGGAAGCAAATATGTTTTGACAACGTCGACATTGTGAGATAAAGTGTAAAGTATTCTTCTGCTACTATAGAGGAACGTATTTTGACGATTGGAACTTCACGGATACTGGTCGTACATATCAAATGGAATTACCGTCAAAAAACAGGTTCATCTGCAGTCGAAACACTCCTGTCTTCCATTTCATCGTCTAAATATAACTGCAGCCATGCTTACCTTGATCTACGTTGCGCTAATTCTTCATCCTACTAATTCTTTGATGATATTATATAATTTTCCACATGATTAGATGATGACCATGTGGGTCGACCTCCAAATTGCAGTCACTTGCTGCTTTTATCTATTTGTAAAACTTACTCGCTTTTCGCTTCTTTTTTGCTAGAAGAAATTATAGTGGCTACTTGTATTAGGCTGTCTCCCAAAAGTAAATTTCTTTCGTAAATAAACCAAGCTGCTTTTGTTTTGCTGGCAGACGGTACCATTCGATAGATAAAAGCAAGTTTTACAGAATGACCACCAACGGTCCGCCTAATCATAATCCAAGTAAAATTTGGAGCCAAAAATCCGAATTTTTCAGGCATCCTACAAATCCAATCTCCTTTCAGGGAATTCCTACGGACCTCCAACTTGGTCACTATATAGATTAAATGGGTGTAGATAACAGGAATAAGCATGAACACTGCTTGATTTGTCCTCATTCAACCAAGAATTTTAATGAAATTATAAAGTTTAATTTTTTAATGCGTACTTTTGCACGGTCAAGAATGGTCACTTCATTTCATTACACAATTTTTTTTATCTTTATCAAATTCGGTTTACCACTTCTGAAGGAAGGTAGTCCTTGTGCCCACTTTGTACGGAAACACTCTCAGCCCATACCAACAAATTCTTAAATTTTTCTAACACCTTTCTTGGAAAAGAAATCACTTTGCAGGTAACGAGAACAGGCTCGCAATAGCTTTTTATACGGCTGTTGACATTCTATTCGAAATTCTATTCTACCTCCGAACTTATTAGAATGTCTTATAAGTTTTGCACTTATACCAATGTAACATTTTGAGGATAGTCATCTCTTTCAGTTTTTCAAGTTCCTTTGTTGGTAGGTATTTAGAAGTCGCGAGCTTTTTGAAGAAGTTAAAACAGAACTATTTTGGCACAACCCAGCAGCTCATGATGGTACAAAATTAGCTTTTTTTGCATACCTGAAGCTATAAATGAAGTTTATTGATGTGATTTCATATCGGTTTTTTATTCATGTATTAGGTTGTCCCATAAGTCTTTTCATGCCTGAAATTCTCACCAACATGAATCAGCTTTTTTTTTCTAAAACTAATAGAATGCGGGGTACCATTTGATAGAATGAAGCAAGCTCTACAAGATGGCATTTCTTGATCAGCATTGAGTTTCAAGCTAAGAAATATTTCTGAATTCCCGAAAAAACGAAAACTATTACATTTCAGTTCAAAACAGACTGCACATTTCCGACTTGCTCACGCATGTACTCTCCTCCCCAGATTTTACATGCACTCGCCGCATTTTTCTGATAGCTACGAATCAAGAAAACAATTGATGAGCTGATTTTTCAAACTTTGCATGTAACGACTCTGTGTTCCTCGCAAATACGCGCTTATATAGCTTATTCACTTAGAATTAATGACACAAATGCAGCCTTTTAGCCTAGTTCTTAAAAGATATCGATTTGAAGGTTCAAATATGTAAAGACTTGGACAACCTATTATCATTTTTTTCTAGCTAGAAAAACTCGTGCATTGTTAAGCTAGTAGAAATTGGTTCCAGAATTTTTACTGTCGACATCATTTATTTTTTTCCTACTACTGAGTTGTTCCATAAGTTCCGTCCGTTTACATTTTTCATCCCGACAACTCTTATATCTCGTGACTCTCAAAAAAGCTGTAGGAAATCTTTCAGAACAAAGCAAGCTTTACAAAGTGGCGTCTAAACGTATGCTCAGGGTCAGCTCCATCTCAAGTTAGAAACAGGGCTCGGCACAGGTGGCTTACAAGCAAGCTGGATATCGTTTTTGGGACGAAAAGCAAAGGGGGTTTCGTTTTTGTAGGCTTAAAAGTTCTTTAGTCGACGTTTCGGTTCTTGAAGATTTTTTTAGGGATTATGGTCTAGGGTCAAAGGGTACTTCGTAAAAATTCGCAAAAGTTAAGGGGAACTTCGTTTTTTTGCATTTTCAACTAGCCACCTCGTGCCGAGCTCTGGTTAGAAATCAAAATCTAAAAACTTTGACAAACCCGAAAACTCAAAAAATCCAGAACCCTGCTTAGAATCTCAAAAAAGCTTTTGTGCATGTACACTCTTCATCTATTATTTCAATGCACATTGCTGTATTCTTCCAGTGCTAGAAACTGAGAAACAGAAATAAGCCCAAAATACACGCCTTTTCAGCTTTTGTACGCTAAATTGAAATTTGTCGAAAAATTGTCTTCTACAAACTATTGTTTGTAGAAGCCTGAGAGTTTGTGGTTATACTTCTAAAGGCTTATGCTATATATCTACCTACATGGGAGCAGCTCAGTATCGTTTTAAGAAAACATGCCTTCTCTTTCTCGATTTTTAGCGGTGAAAAAAATACGACAAGTGTGCATATAGCTATTAGATGGTAAGTGTATATGCGTGAACAAGTTAAAGCTTCCCAGAATTTTTTTAAGCAAAGTTTTGTTTCAAGCTTCTAAAAGGTTTTGGATTTTGATTGTCAACTCAGTGTGAGATGAACTCTGTGCAAGTGTTTGAGAGCCGCTTTGTAGAGCTTGTTTTGCTCTATCGAAAAGAATTCGACAGCTTTTCTAGGAGCCATGAAAAATGTGAGAATGTTGGGATAAAGACGGACGAACTTATGGAACAACCTGATATTATAATTTGAAGAAATTCTTCAATGCCTTTGGTAAATTATCACACTTATTTAAGAACAAAAATACAAAAATACGAAGTATACTGAATCAGTTTTTGAGCAATTTTTGCACGAAGTCTTAAACAACTTTGATGCAAATCTTCTGGGAAAAAATGGTTTGATCAATTTGTTAGGTTCAAAAGCGACCTGAGCCGGTTCACAGGACCAATTGTGAAGGAATAAATTAGAGAACTAGCTATCACGGTGATTCATGCTGATTAGTTGGGTGACAAGAAAGTTGACTCCTTGGCAATTGCTCAATGAATCACTTAAGTTTGATGTACTTTGACAGTAATTGCTTTTTGTCAAATAACAATATCTGTATTTTATTATTGAATATTATTGTTTTTTATGAACTTCATTTCAACTTCGCTTGGTACTTTTTTACTAATATTTATGTTTTAACTTTTGTATGTAGTTCTATTCAATATTATTCATCTTTATTTGTAATTTCATTCATTTTATTATTGTAATCACTAAGCTATAAATAATATTACGCTGATAATACTTAAACACACCGATAAGGAAAGTACAGACCATGTCCATAAATTGACCTATACGGAAACAAATAATGAAAGTTGAAATGTAAATACTGACTGCTGTGTACTTCCAGCAGGCACTTAAAACAGACAGAGGGTCAATTAATATATAAACTTCAATGTTGAACATGATATGCTTTGAACGAGCAAGCTGACCTGACCAATCTGATGTAGATTTAGTTGGTCTGCCCGGTTTAGTAGTGTTTATTTTGACTTTTCTCGAAAAATCGAGGTCAAAAATGTGCATTAGTGGTCCTTTCTTTGTCCATCTCTCAGTCAGCTGTTTAATTCGTACGGTCATCGACTGTTGGCTGATCGCTCGTAAAAGTTCACGCCAGAGTGCTTTTCCACTTATTCGCTGCTGATGAGTCGACATATCCCTTAGCGGGAGATCCCGTCTCGCTCATTTGTCCCATCTTACGGTGTCGTTCACTACAAGCTTCTAACAGTTCGCAAATTTAGAATGCCTGCCCGTTCGCTGAGCCTGGCGGGGATCCCCGAGCTGAGAGGATCAGCCGCTGCTTCTCGCTATAGGAAATCCTCAGTAACAGATCCAGTTCGCAGACCCTCCATATCCAGTAAAATCGGGCAAGAAAGTTGGTTGTAGGAGCTGCTCGCTTCAAGCTTTGGAGTGACCTTCTCGTGCATTTCAGGTGATCTGTTGCTGGATCCAATCACTGTCAGTCAGATTGTTAATTTGGGAAATCATATTGACAGTAAGTTGATTTCGATTACTAATTTCCGTTACAATGAAGTTTGCCCTCGCGTGTCATTGCTAGAAAAGATAGTTACTTATAGTGAAGTTATACTGAACCTAATTTCAGTACCTGCTATGGTAGAATTTTGATAAGCTTTTTCAAACTTTTTCATTGCAAGTTTTCATTTTTTTCGCTACTTAGTATATTTGTAGGAATGCTTAAGAATATGGCAAGTTGTTCTAGAATTTCGTCGTTCTAGTCGTTTGAGCTAGGAAAATGTTGAAATTTTTTCAAACTTCAACATGCAAACTGAATACTTTCTATATTTTTGATCAAGAAACCTTCATAACTCTTTAGGTCTTAACGCCTATTTTTTGAAAATTGTTTTTCACGAAAGAAGTACTTTTGATTTTTGCAAAAAAAGGATATCGGCGTCACAAGAGATATCTTCTTTAGAGATCGATACATAATGCATACAAACAGCATAAAGTACAATAGTTTTCCAATATTTTGCGAAAATACCGCGGACTAAATGAACCTTCTTTTTTCCTTCCTTTTCTCTTCTAACAGGAGGACTCGAAAGTAGTATTCTTATTGTTAGATTCCTACATTCTCCGACATCTGCTCTTATTGCTGCATTCAATTTATTCATTCAGTTCTTTCAACGTTTCTTTATATGCGCTTGAACTGAATACTGATTTTTCAAAGTGTGAGTAATTATAAGCAGAAGTCACCTACTTGTAAAGGATCGATTTTCCGCATCATTCCAAAACATTTTCTGGTTATCCTTTTTTGCCAAAACTTTTTTATTGGAAAAAAAACTTTGTTTGGGGCTATTCCCCTTCGTAACAATTCTACAAATGATAAACATGTCATTCATCTTCCGAAAACGGTTATGATTATTCATGTAATACACATCAAAGAGATGGGAATATAGTTGTATGATGGATCGTCTATTCAAAATTTTCCTTGACCGTACGCCTCGTATCAAAGATCAGTCCAACTAGTAAACAAGAAAAATGAAAAGGTTCCGAAAATCAGTACCTATATATTTGAATTAGACTTTTAAACCATACTAGAACATATAACCACCTTCGACTCCACAGGTCCTGTAGAGAATGTTCGACGATTGGTACTTCTGCATCCGGAAGATGATCCACTTGTTTTCACCGAGATGATGACACTAGAAGAGAGCGAGGACGGAGAGATTTGGAAGCAAAGCACTCGGTAATCACCTTTACATCCTTCAGTTTTTCTATAAGGCTTTTATCATATAGATGGATCAAATATGAGCAGATGGTCGAAGGAGGATTCACACGATTCAGCAAACCTCATATATCCCTGCTGCATATGCAGGTGAGCCTAGCTGGTCCTGAGAAAGTTCTTGAGAACTGATAAAGCGGGAGGAGACTAGGCCATTGACAAGCAGTACCGCATAACATATTCATATTGTGAATCTCACATTGCCTTCAGCCCAGACCGTACTCTATACCGTACCCAAGGACCATGGCGACTACGATCTGGGCCGGAGTTCAATGTTGAAGTTCTAACCTGCGAATAAATGATTCGCTGCCACGTGGGCAATGGCTCCGTCAAGGCTTCCAAGTCACAAGTCCAAGTTCTCAATGTCCAAACACAGTTTTTGAGTTTTCTCGTTCGATAATGTGTACTTTAGGCCATGATGCAAGCTAGGAACTGCTTCAAAAAAGGTGTTGTCCTTCTAGATGACGAAAGCACCGGATATGATTGCATAGTTGGTAAGTAATTCGATCCTAAACATTGCATAACATTGTAGGCTAAGAATCGCCCTTTCTGCAAATATAATATAAGTAATATTTAAACATTCGGAGACATTCTGGAAACTTCCTACTGACGTAAGATGCCTGATTATTAAGCTCTGAGCCAAGGACTTTAGAGATTTATGTGTTTACCAGTGCAAAATGATGACTTTGAAACTCATGGCGCAATGCTCTTATGACGAAGGCTTGAAAACACTTGGTCTTGAGTACCGAAGAGTTTCGGAGAGCTATTCACGATCCTGTACTTGCATTTAGGACTTACAGAGGCGAAATTGAGCTGAGGCCTCATACGTAGTGGGTGTTCAAACCTAATCATAAAAGGACTAACGATTTTTTACTTATTTACATAAATGGTGGGAAAAATGGCTTCTGTTCTGTTCGAAAATGAGTTTTTTGTCGGTGCAGTGAGGAAGAAAGTTGGAAAATTTTGAAGGAACTTTTAGTTGGCGAAAATAGTACATCATTCAAATGTGAAATTAAGAAGAGGAACTTCAAGGATTTCTTTCTTTGCATGTAGAACTTCCTTCCCAGTCGTTTCATGCTCTTTCTTCCCAGCCGTGTGCATTTCTGACTTTCCATCAGCGCATGTGTCCTACAAATTCTATGATCTCTGCTTTGCTAGATTTGTATTCTATCAACTTGAATTGAATCATATAGTTTAGAGCCCAGCCTTCCCGCCAACATATGACTAGCTCGGCAAAGTTGCTAACTCTAACTGACGCTTGCTCAATTTGCAAATTTTCAATTATCCTCGGAACTCAGTACCCTCCCCACTAAACCGTGTTGTTCGGGGCTTGCCAGAATACCCGCCAACCAAAATTCCGATTTGCTTTTAGTATAATATAGAATAATATAAAATCGTTTCTTGCTTGCAAAGGAGGAGGCATGACTTCTCCATAGAGTCTATGCAAGCACATATATGCAACCCTGAGACATGTTTTGCAAGCTTTCTACAGTATTGCTACACTATTTCTTTCTATATAAGTCCTTTAAACTAGACTTCGGATGACGTGGTGATCTTTTGTTATTATTCTTTTTCATGTATGACTAACACTTTGGTGTTTTTGATTTGGAACGCAATGGAATAAAATAGAGGGTTTCAGTGAGAGCTACGTATGTAGTTGAAGTTCGCGAATGCTTTTTAGATAGTAGAGTATTAGCGATCAAAAGTTGGATACATTTTCGGACTCGTGATCTATATAAGGCGTGTTACATATCCTTCTTTACCAAAAACTTTCGGAGGAGGGCTCTAATTTTTTTTACTCCCTGAAGGGGTGAACGAACGAAGTTTGGATAGTTACAGATTTCGTTGACATTTTTCCATTTCCAGTACTTTCTGGGTTCGCTATATATATAATTAATACAGAATACACATATTTCAGACGTTGTCGTAAAGGAATGGGTGAAACGAGGCCTGGTGAGAGGTGTTGCAACAAATGCTATTCGCGACATACTCATGGCTCCAAAACAACATTTGGGTGCCGTCCCTGGAAAAAATTACTTTGGTACTATCATAGATAATTCCTCCCAAATCATTGGTAGCGAAGGGTTTTTTTTTTCAGAAGACAGCACAGAGCACCATGCGCGTCTCGTAAGAGATGAAAGTAGTGGTGGAGCCAAGTATGTGGAGAATGGCGAAGCAATGAAAGACGATGACAGCACCGAAGAGCAACCAGACATTAAGCCACTGCTCGACATCATCAAAGTGAGCATTAGCTAATTTTGATCCAATTTTTCAACCGAAAATACTAGGCCAATCGTCGAACGATGAAGAGAATGCCAACAAACATCGAGGGCGCGGCAATTCTGGTCGGACGGGTAGTTCAGCTGGAGCGAGCTGCATCGGCATTTGTTCGCCTAAAGTACCCACAGGTTTGTACTATTCAAGAAAGATAGGAGGGCAGAGGGAGAGGCGGGGAGGGAGGATATTTGGTCGAGCTATTACTTCAGTTGCGTGATTTATTGTAAATCTGGTTGCCGATTTGGTCAGTTTTCACCTTTTTTCACACCCATAAAAAGTCTCATTTAATTAACATAGAGAAAATTTTTTGCATTTATACTATCATTTTATACAGGGTGTCCCAAAAAAGCATATACTCCTGTCGTAAATATCTATCTTCAAGTTTTTTGCGACTTTTGAGAACCATAGTCTAGTATAGGTTTTAACACAGCATGGATCAATTTAGCAACTGATCTTCGTAACAGCAGGGTTACGTTAGGAACTTGAGAGTTTTGAGCATGCAACAAAGCTTTTTTCCATATGTTCCGAATAGTAATTACAAGACTCAAACAATTGTAAAAAGTTGTGTGATGATGTCAGCAAGCGTGAAATTTGCTACATCCATTTTTTTGATAATATTTCCTCAAGCAGCATATGCAGCGGCGCTGTATATTAGAAGTCCCTAACGTAGTTCTTCAGTAACGAAGAATAACTATCGATCCGCTCTATACCGTAGTTCTGAGCTGAAGCCAGTTCTACAGAATGTCCAAAAATTGAAAAAGACATTCTGAGAAGTGATATTTTAAGCAAATAGTGTGTACATACTTTTGAGACACTTTAATATTCCACTCGATATTTTTATGAAGCCAAATAATTCTAGAATTGATTTGTCTAAAACTACTGGGTATAAAATAAGTTATCCTTCCCGAAGCATTCCTGTTTTTCCATTGGTTAATAATTGATTATTTGATACTGAGTACTTTCTGACCACTACAGAAGCTCTATCCAACAATCCCGGACCTGCCTGTACCAATACGTTTTCTCTTCATTCTTCTCAGTCCAAAAGAGAACTATGAAAAGGAACGAATAAGCATTGGGCGTACAATCGGATCGCTTCTGTCGGATGAGGTAATGTTTTCTAACTATGAGGAATCTTAATTGTACTATGATACTCAATTCGCAGATTTTCCGAAAGGTGGCGCTGCACACTCTCGAGCCGTTCACAATTGCCGATGCTGCCGATGAGTTCATCTCACAGATCGTTGCTGTACCGCCTGGCGTGTGCTCAACAGAAACTCGATGGGAGCCAAGGGAGACCGAAACAAAAGTATGTGGCACAATTTTTGTCATGGCTAAGCTAAGATCATTGAGATACACTCGGTCTTAGCCCAGCACTTTCGCTGCATTCGCCCAAGTCCGAGCGCAGCACGGTGGCTGCAAATTATTAACATCATTGAAGAGACATCCAAAATTGAGAGAAAACTAACACTAGAACGGTAGCAAGACGTAGAAAAAGAGTACACTTGTGTAGAAAATCGTACTTATGCATGTATGGTAACGTAACTTGCTGTTTGGTGGTTCCCTGGCTTTTCTTGTGGCCGTGCTACCAACACAAAATATCGACACCGTTCACTTGTGGTGAAACCCCAGGCTTGGGCAAACAAACTTTAGTTGAAAAACAGCGCATTAACAACCGAACGGATCAATACAGTATAACACCCATAGGTAAGCGTCGATTCGGTCAACACGTAAAGGAGAATTCAGTACAGTTGAATGATTTCAATGATGATGGCAATGCAAAGAATTAGACCTAAAAATACAAAGAAAAGGGCTGCCCGATATGAAGCCGCCAATGAGAACTCCTGTACCTTTCACAGCGTCGAATCACGGCTTCATCTCGTTGATGCGATTCAGCATAGCACTTGGAATCTGCAATGTATAAACTTGTAAGTTTGTGCAATCACACAAAGTAGCTGTAAACGTCGATTGATCTTTGTTCTATAAAATTCTTTGCTTTCGTGAAAAGTACTCAAAAAAGGCTAGGGAATTTCTTCTTTTTTCAGCAAACAAGGTCCGTTGGTATGCTCTACGCTACTTACCGAGATCACGAAGTTGAGGACGAAGAGGTTGAAGAGGTGCACGGTGGTGGTATCGTCAGGACAGGCAAACTTTTCGGAGGACTTTGGCAAGATATAAAGTGGGTTCAGTTGCTTTTACAGATTTATTTGTTTGCATTCATGTGCAGAAGAATATTTAGGAAAAAGCGAGGTGGGTTGGGTGCTTAGCAGGAGACTTGAATATTAGGTCGTAAAGAAAGTTCTGGCCATAGAGGTTAAGCTAAACTTTATTTATATCTTCATCTTAAAAGGCTGTCAATCAACGATATTTTGATCATGTGTATAGGACCCTAAGGCCAAACCAACTCCTACTCGCATTCAATTTTCGTAATTTTTAGAAGGACTGGCAGAACTTTCCTTGAATAATAGTAGTAGAAATTCTTGTGAAATAAACAATTTCTGACGTTATTCGTTGATTTTAGGGTAATCTATGAATTTTTAATTTCCTTGTACTTCTTCAGTCTCTCTACCAATTTACAACATCGTCTCAAAAACCCATTCCAGAACCAAAGCACCATGGTTCATGTCGGATTTTGTGGATTTCTTCGGGGGACGACTGTCACAATCACTCGCAGCTACTATCTTCCTATTCTTTGCCAACATCACATCTATCATCACGTTTGGGGCTGTAATGGAACGGATGTTACATCACCAGATGGTAGGGCTCACTTTAAAAGTTGGCACCACCTCATGTTCAAAACCGTCGTTAAGGCATCAATAGAAGCGATACTAAGTGGAGGCATCTCTGGAATGATATTCGCACTGTTCTCAGGACAACCGCTCAACATTCTCTCAGCGACGGGTCCTACGCTGGTTTTTGAGAATATTCTATTTGATTTTTGCATGTGAGCAGCACTCAAGAAAACTAGTTTTTTTTTTGAAATTGCAACTTTTCATCTCATGCGAATCTTACTTTTTGTGACTTATGGGTATACTTCAGAGGTAACGGCTGGGAGTTCTTACCATTTCGATGCTGGGTTGGCATATGGATAGCATTCATTCTGCTCGTACTTACTGCTACCGATATGTCAGCGCTCGTTGGCCTTATCTCTAGGTATGTGTAATTTCGGGTCTTATTGCAAAATTATCCTTCCTACAAGTCCGTTGCTTAGACTAGTGATTATTTTGCAGTTAACAAATATCTATTCAGATTCACTGAAGAGGCGTTCGCCACACTTATTTCTGTAATCTTCATTATCCAGTCCCTTGAAAAGCTTATGGAAATATCACATGATGCCCCTATCGTCACCGATCCAAGGGTAACAAAATCAGCACATTGTGTAAATTGCTAGGAAAAAATGAATGTTTAGGAAGTCTTTGAGTCACCGTGTTTTTGTCATATAAATGAACTGGATCCGACAAAAAATGCTACCGTCACCTTGAGGCTCAAAGATATCACTGCAGAGGGTAAAAAAAATTCTCTTCAAAAATCTTTTTAAAAGTTCAGCAAAAAGTCCTTTTCTGCTAAACGATTTTTCCTTTCAGAATGTGCGGCGAAAGGAGGAGAAGCCGTCGGACTTCAGTGCCATTTCAAACCAGATGTCTATATGCTCTCTGTGCTTTTGACATTCGGCACATTTGCTTTGGCATACGGTTTGGATCGCTTCCGAAACTCCAAGTATTTGTTATCCACGGTTGGTTTTTGGAAAATTACGAAAAACAGAATTGAACCGATTTCTGAAGCGGTGACTGAATAAGAAAAATATCTCAAAATAGTGTTAACGCATATACAGTCAAAAAAGCGACTTTCTTAATTTCGAAAAAAAATTTCTAAGAGAACTGCATGGAATCCCTTTGGTCAGAGAGTATTCCTCATATTTTGCGGAACGGGTGCGGCTTATAAACCATTCATTCAATGTAAAAGCGCTGTGTCAGAAACGATCTCGAAGTTGCGTTTGAACTATTCTGATTTTCGCCTTTTCGGCTCGCTATTACAGTATGCTCTTTGATAGTGAAAGGCTCGACCCAACAAAACTGTAATTTTTGATCAAGTAGTTTTGAAAGAGTTATGACTATTTCCCATTAGGAGGCAAAGTAAACGAAACTTTTATAGAATCTGGTTCGAGTGTTCCATCCACCTTTTGAAAAAAAACCTAACTTTCTGGCATCTTCAATTCAAGCATATCTTTAGTGGGGAGCAAGGTTCGCGCGACAGCGTTCTTTCGACCTGAATTAGTATGAGTAAACGAGAGTGAAAGCAAATGAAGAAAATTACTCAGATTAAGACATAAGCAAGGCCAATGAAAAATTCTGAAAGTATTTTTGTTTGTGAGCAAAGTTGTGAAAATCACGGTAGTACCTTTGCCGTGAATTAGTTTGAAATATGAAAAATAAGAGTGGAGAAATTTACTCAAATTTTTCATGCAAGATTACTAAAAATAATTAAAGGTCACTGCAAAAGAACCAAATGGGAGTAGATAATCTTTACAAAAGTATTCCTCCTTATGTGATAAAATAGGCCTGTATTTTATCCTTTATTTTGAATGCTAATCTTAAATAACTTTCTTCATTTGCTTCTAGCTCTCGCGTTCACTCGTACTTTCACTTCAAGGTACTCCTGTAAAGCGCAGAGTCTGCTCACAAAAAGAATCTGATATGGAATCTATCAAGATGCAAGAAACTATAATTTTTTTTGAAAATGTGCGAAAGGACTTCCGGAACAGCCTAATATGTTTGCATCATTGAAACAACCATTTCGAACACCTTTTGAATAAGGCAAAGATTTCATTAAGAATATTTTCGAAGATATCAACTGCTGCATAAGTTCATTGTATCAGCGTCTTTTCAGCTTCGTAACGCCATCAGTGATTTCGGAGTGGTCATTGCTATCGTCGTAATGACTGCATTCTCACACTTCATCGGTCTAGACGTACCGAGCCTCAACGTGCCCGAAAGCTTCAAGGTGTCGTTCAGCTCACAGCCACTCTTTTGCTGAAAAAGTTTGCCATTACAGCCGACCATAGACCGTCCATGGCTCATCGACATTACTCGTGCCAGTCCCATCGTGGCCGTCGTTGCCTTCTTCCCTGCTGCTTTCTATACAATCCTTATTGTTATGGACCAGCAGATAACTGCTGTTATCATCAACAGAAAGGACAACTTGCTCAGGGTAAGTTAAAATATGATCGAGGCTGATGGATCAGGCTGTCGCTTTCAAAGAGAAAGCAAAAATATCATAGAAGAATTGAACTTGATTTTCAGACTAAGTAAGGTGCTTGTAAAATTTATCTGAAGCTACTCGTAAAAGGTTATGTGGACCTACTAATTATCCAATTTCAAATCTGTTTCAAGTGCTATAGAATATTAGTGCACTTACAACTCTAACATCCACTCGATTTAACCCCGAAGAAGGTTTGAAGGCGCCTAATTTGAAAGATAGTTGCTTTCAGATACGGTCTACACGAGTGAACGTAACTACAAAAATGCAGCCAATTTTCTTTGAAGATCTCAGGAAGAGTTCACGCGATTTCATCGTCTCACGACTTTCCTCCAAGACAAAAGTTACGAGTTTACTGCATGCCGATTATCTTGCATTTCGGTTATGATAGTTTTGCGACATGAGTAATCGTGACTAAGTATCACAACCGAAACGCAAAATGAACGTCATGCAATGGACTCGTAACGTATGTTTGAAGAGTGAGGCGATGAGATCGCGTGAACTCTGCCCGAGACCTAAGGCCTTGGGCAGAGTTCGCGCGTTTTGATCGTCGCGATTTGCGACTCTAGACAAGTGTTACGAATTCACTGCATGCCAATCTTCTTGTATTTTGGTTGTGATAGTTAGTCACGATTAGTCTTGTTGAAAATATAATATCACAAAAATATGAAAATAAATATCGTAAAAAATAATATCATAAAAAATATAATATCAAAAATATAATATCATAAAAATATCACAACCGAAATGCAAGAATATCGGCATACAATGGTATCATTACAGTTGTCTGGTCGCGATCAGTCGCGACGATTAAATCGCGTGAACTCTGGCCGAAGCCTTATACCAGAGTTGGTGAAGGTGGAAGAATTCAGTTATGTGAAAAGCCGAGATTCATTGGTACAAAAAGTCATTTTGGACCGAAGCCTCTATGTAAAACTGTGGCAAATTTTTTCTCCTTTCTAAAAATCCCTGCCACCTTCATCTCTTGTAAAGAACAATCTTTGTTGCTCTTACGATCTCATGGAATTCACCGTAGAGTCTAGATCCCATGCTTTGAAAAAAATTTCCCACAAGCGATGATGTTTTCTATGATTTTGGAACATCTTTCAAATGATCATAAACATAGTGTATTGTATAATAACATAGTGTCATTAACAGATTGCTTGTTTCCACCATTCACGTAGACCAAATTTTGATTTTGTAATTATTAGAAGAAAATATTTTTGAGGAGCTTGGGAAGCTACGCGGTGTGAAATTGTCGTAGTGCATGGGGCTAACTTCAGCTAAGTGACCAAATCATTTTTCAGTAAGCACCAAAATCTTTTGAAATTCTGAATATGAGCGGTCTAGCTGCTATGTACATATGCAGTGGCGGAAATGTTCGGAATCTTATATTATTCTACTGAGTTTTACTCCTAATAACTGCGTAAGAGAAGGCCTGTCTTGAATTGGCATTAAGAGAGAATTTGTAAGATTTCTGACAAATTCGTTTCCGATGACTCAAAATGACTCAAAGCAGTCTACCGGACTGCTATTCAATTCGCAAGCAAGCTACTTAGCAGGTAAATGTTCCTGAGGTGTGATATAAGGTTATTGCAGAAAGGCGAAGGCTACCACCTCGATCTCTTCGTGATTGCCATTCTCGTCCTGATTTGCTCATTCCTCGGCTTGCCATTTTACGTAGCAGCCACTGTGCTGTCCGTAATGCACGTGAACTCCCTTCGACTTCAATCGGAAACTTCTGCACCTGGGGAAATCCCTCGCTTTTTGGGAGTGAAGTATGTTACAACTTACATAAATAGTGTATATGCTCTTGATTATATACTTTAGCGAGCAGCGTTTGTCCGGATTTCTTGCTCACTTTTTAATAGGACTATCAGTGTTTCTGACGGGAGTTATAAAGGTGCGATTATGATCTTTACACTACAGCCCGTGATGAAATCCTTTTTAGCTTGTGCCTCTACCAGTTTTAATTGGAATATTTCTTTACATGGGAGTAGTCTCCTTATTAGGACAACAATTCGTTCAAAGGATCGGGCTATTGTTCATGTCAGTGAAAAATCAGGTGTGTCCATATTTTTGATCTATAGTTTAGCACTCTAAAATCACTACAACTGATCAAAATCGTCTACAACTATGCTTTTCTGGGTTTTTTTGTTGATAATCTTTCTTACGTAGTCTTAGATTACTTCTGGAAGCGCTTTATTGCTTCAGTAACTGGGTCATGTCCATATCTTCATATTCACTCCTTTCACTTCTCATACACGCTTGTCATAGGCAACCGTAAAAACAAAAGACACCTCTATCCTTGCTAATCTGAAAATTGAAACACGATATTAATTCGATTCAAGAGTGCAGCCTGGCCATTTTGAAAAGTTTACAAAATTTGAATGTTGACTTCCGACTTCCATGAAAGCTGTGCTTTAATGTCTGCCTAAACTGTCATAGAGCAGAAGTGCCACAAAAATAGCTAAGAAACAGCCAATCAATATATACGATAATTTTCAAACCTTACATTCATATCTAGGACAATAATTTTGATTACGTAATGGTATTTTCATGTTGAGTCATTAAAGTTTATGGTCGTTTTTTTGAGTAAGAATCGATACTTTAATATTGAAAAAAAACAGGAACTTCTCCAGAATTACTTTTTTGCGTTTTACTTTGGCCTCACACAGTAGGCTCTACAATGGACCTCCTAGAAGATTAGTCGAAGTGGCCTTTCGAGATGGGACGTAACCATTTTTGAGAGCAAGATACGTTTGATTCCAATCTGTTTTGCTTATATGGAGAGCATACCTGGGGCTTATGAGCGTTAATTACAGCCAAAATTTGCATGGTTAGGATGAAATCAAATGCTAAGTCTTCCTAGCGCTTGAATGAAGCAGCGGAGTGTAGATAAAATTTATCTGAGAGTATTTATTGCATAAATTGCTCTGATAACTCTCACTGTTCCATTTGAACGCTAGGAAAATTGCTATGATTATTATTTTTCTTGCTTCAATTCTTGCACCAATAAACGCTCATAACTCCTCGTCCAGAAATGTGCGCATACAAGGAAGATAGATATCGAATCAACTTTTTGCGCCCTCCAAGTGTACATCTTATCTTGAAAGAACACTTCGCCTCAAAATGGTTTCTAACTTGAAAATCAAAATTTTCGCTTGCACTGTTCACAACAAATCACTCTCTGGCGGTCTTTTGGTTATCAAAACAAAAGACAAAAATCAAAGTTTCACATTGAATTCTGTTTCTTGCACTACTGATGCTTGAATATGGTTGCAGCCTGATTACGTATGGTTACGGACGGTGCGGATGCGCAGAGTGCATCTTTTCACTGTGATACAGCTGCTGTCGATAGGAGCTCTATTTGCTATCAAGTACACGAAGTACATCTCGATGATGTTTCCACTCATGGTATGTTTTTTTTTTTCATTTGCTTTGGGACTAACATCTTCTTGAAAAATAAAATTTTTTTGAATTCAAAAAGATTTTTTTAAAATTTTCTCGACGAGATCCTCACGAAGTTGGCAAATCTCGCTTGCAAATGCTTTTGTTTCGCGCTAAACTATGGAAAAACCTTGCTTTGGTATGTGCTGCTCAGCAAAAAGAATGGTTCCCCACATGTGAAATGGTGATTGAAATGACTGAAATGATCATCGATGTGCAGAAATAATTCAATTGGGATCAGTCAAAAGATCGCTAGAAAACGGAATTGCTCCGCCCTTTTGTCTAGCCACACCCATTCATAGGCACTGTGAGCGCACTGGCACAGCATCAAACAACTCTTCTATTCTTTTGACTTTCTTTGGGGAGATGCATAGTGCACAAGCTTAAAGGCAGTGTCCAGGCAAATCTGGTCGTATGGCTCTTTCGCCTGGAAATTGATGAGGGGGTCCTACCTAAGGCATTGCCCAAGGGGCAGCGCAAATTGTTCAATCACGGCTGAAAAATCCGTTCCCGCAAACCCCGCGCCTGCGCCATGACCGTAACTCAAAAACGATTTCGCTCACTTTTACACTACGTTCGCGCTGGGACCAATCCTAAGTGTTACGGTCACGGCGCAGCAGCGCAGTGTTTGTGGATGGATTTCTCAGCCATTTGTGAATTATTTGCGCTGCGGTTTGGGCGTGCCCAGGCTAGAGCCTCCTCGACAGTTTCCAGGCAAAAAACCCATATGTCCAGATTTGCGTGGACACTGCCTTTAAGAGCGCACCTATGCACTTGCATGCTGAAGATGAAAGTGATCTTTCATCTTTTGGATGGACTTCGACAAAAAGATAGAAAGGACAAAAGCAAAAGAAGTCTGCTTCCATTTGTGGGCTTTACTCCCACAATTTGAATTTCATATGCTTATCCATTGAAATAAATTATGTGCCTATAAATTCCAATTCCAGCTCGTCGTCATGGTTCTCCTTCGAATGTTCGTTCTTGAAAAGATTTTCACGCAGGTGGAGTTGTCAGCACTCGACGACATGTTGCCTTCTTTCAAGCAGGTGGTAAATCCACGGCGGAACAGGTGCGCAGTCTAGTGATTTTTCATTTTTAGATTTTCATTTCAACTGACAAAGTTTTTTCTCGCAAATAATCAAGCGCTATCCACATATTTGCGCTATATTATCTGTGAAATGAGCACATTGGCATTGGAGCTTCTTAGACCGAAATGCTGTAGCTTTCTTTAATATGAATAGAAGCAGAAGGAGTTCACCGAGTATCTTTTATGAGCGCTGCCATTCCAACAAAGTGGAGAAATATACAAGTTGCCCATAGAAGCATAGAAGAGTTGAGACTGACAAGCATTGGCTTTAGCGCTGTATCCAGCTAAGATTTCGTGTTTGGAAGAGATGACACATCAAAAGACAGATCAAAGTGCTCTCGGTCAGGCAGGCGACACATCTTTTCTTATTTAAGGCAGTGGATTAAAGAGTTGGGGTATTCGCATACAGCTTCCCTGGACCTGGAAAAAGCGTTCGGTAAGGTGCCCATGAAGTCAAATAAGGGCCTTACGAAAACACGTGATGCCTATTTACCATAAGGTTTCAAGTCACGTACGAACAGCTGCAGGGAATCGAAAGTATTCTAAACCTAGGTCGGGGTACACTAGGGTTCAGTTATCTACCCTTACTCTTCCATCGTGGTAAACGCCATGATAGAATCATTTGAAACCTCTCTGGACGCTTCCCTACGCAGATGATGTGGTATTGATAGCAAGTATAGTAAGTTTCAACTCAGTTCAGGCGGAAATTGGACTGGCGGAAGACCGCTTCACAACGATTCGCGCTGCTTTTCAGTCTGCGTCTCTTCATTCTAATCTATCTCGCGAGCCAGTGGCGGTGCGGACGCGCTGCTCCACGCGGAATGTCTCGCCCTCTGGGTTGAAAAAGATTGTACGAAGAAGTTGCAACGAGGTACAACACTGGAAAAACAGGCTAGAGTCGTAGCGCCCAAAACTCAACACCAGGAAGACAGGAAATATGGAAGTAGTAGAAAACTTCAAGCACTATAAGCGTCAATGGTGAAAAGCTGGAGAAGACAGCGTCACACAAGTACCTAGGCGGCCACTTGGCGAAAAGACGCCTATCAAAGGAGGTCGCAGGCAGGTCAACACAGCGTGGATGAAATGGAGAGCCTTAACAGTAGTTTTATGCGGCAAAGATATGCCTGTGCAACTTAAGTCCTTACTAAACTGGACCATTATCCATCGAGCACCAACACTGTATAACAGTGAGTGCTGGCCATGTAAGCGGAATGACGAACTCATACTTAGTGTTATGGAAAAGAGGGCACGAGGCCTTAGGTGTCACACTAAGGCCACATTTGCAATGGCACTACGCGAACCCGAAAGTAACTCTAGTTGCTCAGAAAATGCAGGGAAGCAGGCTACAATGGTATGCACATGTGTGCAGAAGAAACGAAGTCACATCACTAGCTTAGCCCTGGCGGTGGAGGCATCAGCCAAAAGATCCAGGGATAGAAAATGAGATTAGGTGAATAAAATCGAGGCCGCCCTATGAGAACTCAAAAAGGATGAAAAGCTTCCCACCTTGAAAAACAGACACCTGATAAGAAAAGCAGACCTTGCATAAGCGGGACCCATGCGAGGATGAAGAACATTGCACACATTTCTTATAGTGCCGGGCATACATCACGCATAATAATTGTTTTGTTAAGAGGATACAAAAAAAATGTTACGAGTCCTTCGCATGCTGAGTTAGCCGCAATCAGTCGTATTGGACGTCTATCACAAGCGAAATGCAAGATGCATGCAATTAACTAGTGACAAATGTCTAGTTGGGGGAATAGCGAGGTATTTTACTTGAGGCTGATGTTACTGCATGAAAAAAAATGGAGGAAAGTCTAGATAATCTAAAAGGCACTTGATCGGAAGACATGCGATTATAAACCGAATGCAGGTCTTACGGGCAATATGTGCAATATGTACGGTGTAGTCGCACAGCTTCGGCTACAAGCTTTTGTGTAAAGCTGGAAAACCTTTGATATAACAATATCAGTAGCATTCCTTTCACTGTTAATATTTGTCTTAAACGATTCGAGCTCGACTATAGATGTATTCATTGAACCTTGCAAGCTAGGTCAAATATCAGCAGTATCAATAAAATCGAACGATAGGGCATCTCTGACATCGGTAAACATCAATGAAGACAAAAGAAAGCTCCGTCAACTCCGCTGCATCCTCGTGGAATGAAAGTACAACCTCAACGCCCGGAAAATCGTCCGAATCTTCAAAAGGATTAAAGAAATACTTGAAGACATGAACATGTGCAGTGAAGAGCAGTCAAAAAATGCACCGAGTTTTCAGCTTGTTAGATTAGAAACATTCTTTTCGAGAGCGTTTTCGCGCCATTGTTCGCTGCAGTGGGTGCGGCTTATAAGCCGGATAGGGTAATTTTCCCCGAAAAACAAGCGAAACAATACTCATACTATGACGGGAAACACCATCATTATTAGCTCTTAACTCATATTTGTCATCGTTTTTGGCAAATTAGAGTCTCCTTTTCTTTATAACTAAATCTACGAAGGAATTTTATATGGTAGCAGAACGGATTGTTGTGACTCGTTCAGACTTGACTAAAGTGTGATTTCGCCTGCATTCGATCATCTGCTGCTTTGTTTCAAACTTTTGATATTCAAATGTTCTGATCTCGACTCCTCAAACGATATGATTTGAATGAGCCTTGTCGGTGTTGATATATCAGTACGCCGCTTTCGCCTGAAATAATTGTCATTTTTTCAGGCGAAAGAACAAGGAAATGGTGGATCTCTTAGCAAAGAAGTGAAGTTCCGACAGCTAACGGCTGTACAAGCAACATTCTACGTTTTGCGGGTATCTCATAGCTCTGTTGTACCTACTCAGTTTCCTCGTTGCAGTGATATGCAGCATATGTGGTTTTTATTCATTATATCACATGTATCATGAGAGAGTTAGCTAATTACATTCATAGAGTAGTGGCGGGACAGATGAGATATGTATGTCAATGTTGACAAATATATATTATTATCTTAATTTTGTTCTTACAGAAAGAATCTGTTCCGAGAATTATCTAGATCCACTCGAGGCTTCCTCAGTTGATAATAGAGAGTAATGCTCATCGAAGGTAAAATGACCATCCAAAATGACTTCTTCCATACATAATGTGTATCATCTATTCCATGACTGGGAGACGCCTGACCGCATTGCGGACATTGTCTTAACAAGTTTGAGTTTGTTCTTCCCTGAGTGAATAAACCTCGACGAGATAAATAACAAGTATAATCCTGCTAAGTCCCGATTGGGCTTGTTTAAACACTGTGTGCAATGCGGTCTCGCGTCTCCTAGTCACAGAATGAATGATACTATCTTCGAAAGTAAAGAGCTCCAAATCGTTTTACCCCTTACTTCAACGATTCATAGACGTCGGGGGTCAAGAATTTCCCATATGTGTGCACGGCTTTGCATAAAAAAGTATATGGGTTTGAGCATCAAGGTCGTCATGCTAATTAGGCAAAGACCATTCGATTTCGCAAATCTTATACCGTGTACTCATGCACGCACCCTACTGACACATTAGGGACAACTCTACGTATCTCAAATTCTATGAAGAAGCAAGAAGAGAGGAAAAATCAAGCTTAGCAGAAATTTCTATTAACTGTAACCTCGCTGGCCCCGTTTGACATCGCGTTCAAAAACGCCTTCAATGATTCCAGTCGCGAGTGATGGTCCCGTGCTACGTTAGCAGCAGATCCGAAGAAATTTTTGAAGGACTGCACCGAAGGGCCTAGCACACACAGAGATGTCTTCCAGTATGCGTTCGATGTCCTGTGCTATCTATCTTACAGCCGTCCAGTGTGTTGTCAAAACACGACGGCCCATAGGGCATTTTCGGTAATTATCGGTCTGTAGGCGGCGGGCAGGACAGTTCTCCCTCACCTATCGGTTCGAATGGGCGCAAAATATCTTCTATGAGCAGCTCATAATTCTTTCTCAAAATATTCGTTTATAGGGGAAATATAGGAAAGTTTCTTGAGGTATTGGTCAAGCCGTTCTTAGGGCATTTTCAAAAGATATTGGTTTAAGGGTTTGTAGGGTAGTTCCCTCCTGAAATACCGGTTTGTGTGCAGCCCACAGGGCACTCCTTTATCGAAGACGGTCTCTAAAAGGCCAATAAGGCAATTCTATCGTAGTACTGGCTTGTAGAAAGCTCGTAGGGCAGTTTCTTGGAACAAAAAAAAATTTTTTTTTGAAACATCGATTTGTGAGCATCACGGGAGTTCTTCCTCAATATAATAGTCTGTAAGCGGCCTAGGGCAGTTTCTTTCAACAATCAATTATTGGCGTGCAGGCGGCCGTAGGGTTTTCTTCTTGAAATATCGTCTATGAGCCTACGCCTTCCTGAAATATTGGTTTATATAGAGGGCTGTATGATATTTTCTTCCAAAATACAGGGGTCCCAAAAAAATGTGCCTACTGTTTGATTGTTAATAACTCTGTTGTAACAAAGTCTTTCGAAAAGCTTTAGGTACCATTTTGTAGAGCGAGGTTAAACTTAGATTTACTGTACGGAACGAATCATCGATCGCTCTTCATTACTGTAGGATTAAGGTAAGAACCCAGCATATGGAACCATTGTGAATTATACCACCCAATGAAATTTTTTCCAAAAACTCTGAAAAATTGTGTACTAAGGTTTTCGCGCATGCTAATTCCAGCTAACAACTTTTTACAAGTGTTTTCAGCTTTTTTGACGGTGTAATTACATTTGTGACAAATGCTGGAAATTGACTGATAACGAATTACAGGGGATAACTTTGGAAAGAAGCACCACAGTAAAATGGGAATATCAAATTCGGAAACAGCGGCTCCCATTACCGTAGTATAAGGGTTTTTGGCTTGTTTGGTCTTGTTCCGAGGCAGACTATAGCCTCCAGCGGCCTAAAATCCTTGTCGAAGTTCGTACCGTAATTATACAGTAATGAAGAGCGATCGATGATTTGCTTTATACAGCAAATCTAAGTTTAACCTCGCTCTCAAAACGGTACCTAAAGCTTCTCGAAACACTTCATTATAAGAGAGTTATTTACAATCAAACAGTAGGCACATTTTTTTGGGACACCCTGTATTATAAGAGCAAAGCAACCCTTTTCAAAACTCCACTCTGTAGACGCCTAGAGTTTTTCTTCTCAAAATGGTGGTTTGTAGAGGACTTCTAAGGCTAGTTAAGAGATGTCGGTTGTGAAGCGGCCCATATTGTACAAATTTTTCTCATAGATATCGGTACCTGGGCCGTTTTGTGCAACAGTTCTTTTCTATAAAAAAAAGTCTTCAGGCGGCACGATTGGCATGAGAAAACAATGTTACTCCCTTTGGTGAGATTTTTTGAGAACTGAGGCATTTTTTGAATTTCTTTTGTAGTATCCATGTCGCTTTGAGATGCGACTGCTTTCGAGGTGACTCTTGAGAAAATTTGGCCCAAAGAATAATCTTATTGTTAGAAGGGAATCGAAAATCTAAAATAATCCGTAGTCTCATGTTGCCCAGTACTCGCCAGATATTGTGACAAGATTGCGCAAGAAAATTACGTCGTGGTTTTTTAAAAAAAGTCACCTTGCCCATATGATGGTTCTCATCATAGACTGACAGAATCCCAACTTGAAAGGCTTCTTAAAAAGTTCCGTTTGTGAAAGGCGTAATGAGAGCGAATCTCTGCAAAGAAGAGATTTGGATGAGAAGGTCATTTAGAAATATCAATTTTTGTTCCGAAAATCTCGTAAAATTGTAACATGATTCTTCAGAAATGTTGAATAATTTCTAAAATTCTTCCCTTTTTGCGAAACTCCCCGTAGGGTTTTCAAAACTAACTCTTAGGAAGGGTATAAAATGTAAAGACATTGTAGTCACAACCAGGATCGAGTAGATGTCAGGTGTCCATCCTGGCGGGGGGGGGGGAGGGGGCGGGGTCGTATTGGGATAAGACTGAGGGGGGGGGGGCGGGGTCGTATTGGGATAAGACTGAGGGGGTGGGGGGCATCGTAATCAGGAACCAATTTTGTTCAAAGAACTGAGGATATACTACGATCGAGTAAGGCGAAGAAGAGCGGTAAACCGGTTAATAAGACCCACCAGAGAAAGAAGATTATTGAGCACAATGATTAACTCCACTAATGAAGTCTTAACCAAATTTCAATTCTTCATCTTATACCTTCAACATACGTAAGGTTATTACGGAGTGTAATTTGGGTATGATTTGCGTAAACCGCCTGCCAAATTACCTTACAAGCTCTACAAACTATTACCTATTACATTTTCTACTATTTCCCAACGTCTAAAAAGCGTGATTCTCAAACATGAATGACTTGGTCATGAAAAAGGAGTCGGCTTTTTTCTACTCATAACGAAGTAATACCTCTAGCAGTCTATGTATCTTTGATTCAACTGGTTTAGCTCCGTCAGGGCAGGCCGCTCGCGTCCACGACGCACCTGCGACTCTCGCGCGCGAGTGCTCTCTGATCATTACCTAGCCTTAATTAGGTCACGAAGCCCGCCTTTGCCGAAGCTCAGCCAGTTGAATCAATTGTAGAAAATTGATTCTATATCGCTTCCAAATAATGGATTAAGAAGTGCTGCCATTTTCAATCACCATGTTTTCCATTTCAAATGTTTCAACTCCGCCGATCACTACAAAGCGGACACAGTCGAGGTAAACTTAAACACCTACGTGAGATCTTTGAGGTTTGTGCTAGCAGTCACTTAGAACTTGTGCGAGAAAGCTTCTTCGGAGATAAAGTAAGGGGTCAACAAACCCTCAAAAGGTCAGAGCTAAGCTTATGTAGCTTTCTGCTTGATCCCTTAACATGTCTTCAGAATCCAGACATCCTCCATCTCTGTTACGAATATTGAGCTCATAGCCTTTTCTCGCTACAGTGAGTATTTATAGCCTAGCATCCCATCGCTACGGAATATATAGCCCTTTCAATAACGTGTGATTGTAAAATGCACTCAAACGAAATTGGGCATACAGACTTCAAAAATTCAAAAAGCATTAAAAGGGGTGATGGTGTCCATCAGAATGTCACACTCCGAGGTTCCGAATGCGAATAGGAGAATAGGTCGTTTGGAGGTTTTCAGGAGGGTAAGAAGGGGGGAAGGGGAAGGTGAGAATCGTTTTCGAAAGACTTTTGCCTGACCTCTTGCTCAGCTCTGGTCACAACTAGCTAATAATGTGTCTGCTCCTACTGACTTGTTAGCGATCCGTACTGTCGCAAGTTCATTATTGACATTCAGTTGTGGGTTTGTAATTGAAATCATGCGGTTTCGTAGATTTTTCTGGCGCAAATTTCACTTTCGCATTACAGGATCGTGCATTCCTTCCTAACAGTGGCGTACCCAGGATTTCCGCTCCGGGGTGGGGGGGGGGGGCGACAAAAAAATTTTTCGGATGAAGATGCGTGGCTTTAGCCACGCATTCCAAAAATTTTTTTGAGATGCTTTCCGAGATTTTTGCGGTCTCTGACCCCAAAATATTAGAAAATTGGGGCGTGGCGTCAGCCACGCCTCCGAAAAAAAATTTTATACAGCTAATTTGAATTTTTTAAAAATTTTAAAAATTATTATAAATATTTACAAGTAAAAACAAGTCGCTTGCACATTTTTATAACACAACTAGCTGGCTTACCCGGCTCCGCCGTATCCGGACCAAACTTGGCACGCATACACTTCGGGCCCCGGCGGGTGTCACAGTCTACTTTTCGTTATCGATCGATGTCGATTTTACCGATTTTTATCGATTTTTTGCAGAGTTCACCTACAGGGCTAGGAGTTGGCACAGGGGGGGAAGTGAGCATGGGGATTCCGAATACAATATTAGTTTTCAGAATTATCGATTACTTTTATTGATTTTATCGATTTTTTGTAAATTTTGACATGCGAGGCTGGGATTTTGCACAGGGGGGTAATCGAGCATGCTGATTACGAACACAATAATAGTTTTCAGGATCGTCCATTACTTTTATCGATTTTATCGATTTTTTTGTAAAGTTTGACCTGCGGGGCTGGGAGTTTGCACGGGGGTTATTCGAGCATGCTGATTACGAACACAATATTAGTTTTCAGGATCGTCCATTACTTTTATCGATTTTATCGATTTTTTGCAAAGTTTGACCTGCGGGGCTAGGAGTTGGCACAGGGGGGGAAGTGAGCATGGGGATTCCGAATACAATATTAGTTTTCAGAATTATCGATTACTTTTATTGATTTTATCGATTTTTTGTAAATTTTGACATGCGAGGCTGGGATTTTGCACAGGGGGGTAATCGGGCATGCTGATTACGAACACAATAATAGTTTTCAGGATCGTCCATTACTTTTATCGATTTTATCGATTTTTTTGTAAAGTTTGACCTGCGGGTCTGGGAGTTGGAATCCCCATGCTCACTTCCCCCCCTGTGCCAACTCCTAGCCCCGCAGGTCAAACTTTGCAAAAAAATCGATAAAAATCGATAAAATCGATATCGATCGATGACGAAAAGTAGCCTATGACACCCGCCGGGGCCCGTAGTGTATGTGTGCCAAGTTTGGTCCGGATCGGTTCAGAAATGGAATTTTCTATTCGGAACATACGTACACACATACATACATACATACATACATACATACATACAGACAAACAGACATTCAGCTTTATATATAAGATTAAGTAACTTTCAAGAATTTCGTAGCAGTAAAGGCAGCTCAGGCATTCTAAGTGGTACACCACACTTGTCTTTGCACAGTCTCCTATTCTGCCATAGGAACAAATAACACAATGCTCCATCATGCCATTCGCTATCATATCACGAAAGTCTGTTCCGTAGCAATTGCTTCTTATTACTACTTTTTCTGCTATTGACAAGCATAGCATTATCCTGCAGTTGGGCTCTAGGAATGCATTGCTTCAGTGCCCTGCTAACCTGCTTTAAAATGAATGGCATGCCAAGGCTCTCATCGCATTGAGTTTAGATGTGATTTTCAGGATGATTGGAATACCTTCATTGCTTTAAACGAATGAAAAATGGTTTGAAATTGTTGGCAGCTGGAGATCTTCAGTGGGGAGGGGGGCCTGGAAACGCTGCTCATAGAACGGTAATCCTGTTCAATATGTTCATAGCGAAAGGCAGTGATAATACTTGAGAATGGAAAGACTGTGTGAAGTCTACATCTCTGGAGTTCCAGAAAATGAAGATTTTATTACTGCTCTCTCCTCCTTACCGAAAATGCTAATGCAAGCGGCCCCTAGCGCAACTTTGCAAAGCGTACGTCAAGGCAGGAAGATCCGTTAAAGGCAGTGGCTCGGCAAATCTCAACTTAGTCAAATTTGCGCTTACCTGGGGTTATTCAATACGCTGATCCCGAAAATCCACTTTTGAAAGCTTGAAAATGGCGAAAATAAGCGTTTTTAATGCCCTTCCCTTTGGAATTGGGCGAGTGGAGCAAGGCCAATGACGCTAAATCGTCGCAGGACCCAATGGTTATAGCGTTGCGGCGGGCAGCCTCCAATGGTGAGAAGGAAAATGCCAACTCGTCCAGATGCGTGTAAGATTGGCCTGCGCGTGTAAGTTCGAGAGCGATTTTCTCGGCAGGGAAAGCATGCTGTGCAACCGGGATTGCACTGTTTTCATACTTGGGCGATAAGGAACCTACGGCGTTGAAATCCTGAGTTGTTGGATTTTGCCGATCCAATGCCTTTAAAGGCAGCGTACACCCAAAACAAATGCAACAGATGTTGCAACAGCAACTGCAACTGCAACTGCAGCTTACGCTGTAATGGATTCGTCCGGAGGAGGCGGAGCGAAAGAAAAGGGGCGGCATGAAAGAAAATTGAGGGGGGTTTTCTCCGCTCAGAAGCAACATTGGGAGACCGGACCAACGCAGTTGGTCTTCTTCTGGGCCCAGTATATACACGGTGTAAAAAGATCTTGGAAATTCGGTAACTCAAATTTTGGGTGTACGCTGCCTTTAAGTTGAAGAGTGCGCAAATTCAAAGTTGTTAGTTTTTGAACTCTGACTTACTTTGTGGGCTCCCCGCTCTGCCTGTCTCTCCTACGAAGTTTTTGGGTACCTCATCGTGATGTTTGCTATCTAGGTAGATGTGACTTGAGCTTAATCCCAACAGCAATAAAGGAGCACCACAAGTCCTTCCATTGCATTAACATCGTCATTGTGACTCTCGCCTCTTCTCTGGAACTCTTGAGTAAATTTACCACTGAGTACATAAATAAGGTGAGTTGGACACTAAGTTTGACATCAAACGCATTATTCAACCTTTTAGTTAAAGGCACCGTCCATCAGATTTTCGACTTCAACGTCGTTTCTGGGGCTTCTCATGTCCCTGATTTCGAAAATGAAGTCGAGAATGCGCGAAAACCCCGACATTCCCCGTTTCGGAGAACCCATAGACCGGCTTTCTGGAACGGTGATTGGATGGGCGCACACAAGTGGGCGGGCATGGATAGGGAAGGGCGGAAATGGATGGGGGTCCTCGTGCATCTTCGCTATTCCGAAGCGATTTTCTCGCTTCCGAAGCGGCATTTTGCGCCGCGACATGGGCATTGGATTGATGGGGGGCACTACTATTATATGCTGTCAAAAGCTCACACCCTCAACTTAGGGTGAACGGTGCCTTCAAGGTTTGATAAGTTGGTCGCGCTTCTTGATGCAAATTTGACATATGCGCTGTTCCAGAAGTACATGTCTTCATGCCATGTTTGTCTCCTTTACCCTGCTGTATCAACATTATTGCTCCATTTTCATAGATTGGAAGGGTAGAGAAAAAATTCAAAGCCTTTACAAAGTCATTTAAAACATATCACGTCTATCTTCGAATAGGTCAAGACGTTCCTCATGCTGCCGCGGCAGGAATAAGTTTCAAAATGTAAGAAAAAAGCGCATTTTGAAATTTCCAAAAGCGAAACCTAAGAGCTAGATCTCCGTTCAAAAAATTCTATAAACTTCCAATTTGCTCGCGCGTGCTTTTGTGGCCAGATTACGAGAATGAAATATGGACCAGAATTACAAAATAGCTTTTCATGGATTTGTACGGAAAATTTTATATTTTTAGAGATGGCGCTTGTATTTTTAATTCTTGAGATAAGACTCGACCACTAAAAATTAGAGGTGCCATTTGCAAAGACTTGTAAAATATTGATTTATTTCATGGCTAATAACCAAAAAAAAGTTTATGCAGATTTTCTATTCATTTGTCACATCAGACAAACTCAATAGAATTATGGTACACTATGCAGAATCACAGCACTCACAAATGGAAACAAGTTGCTTGCATGTTTTCATAATTCATGTAGACCGCATTTGTAAACTTCGGGGTTACTTTCTTCTCTGCCTCCCGGCCCAAAATTGGTATCTACTGCATGATGACCAATTTGGAGGCATATAGAACTTGACAAGGATTTTTCTTGAATCTCTAGAGTTTTGGCTACAAACTTTACGAGCCGATTTCATGGAATCTGGTGTCAAAGCAAGTGTTCTGCTGCATCAAATACTCTCAAACGCTTCTTCATTCCCGAGGTAGTTCTTCTAACCAAAATTTGCAAGAAACAGATCCAAATATGGAGTTGCATGCAAATTTAGACACATTTTGTTCAGTAGAAGTTGTGGGTTCACCTTAAGTCTTGCACAAAATTTGCAGACGATTAATAGCATAAGATGCGTTGCAAAAAGCCTAACAGTGAGTTCAATAGATATGAATACATGATGTTACTGACCGAATTTAAAAAGAAATCACTGTTTATTCTCTGTACCAAACGAGAAATCATAGATTCTTAATATATACAAAAACCTTCCCGTAACCGTAAGGTTGAGGCACGCGATAACTACAGTTGACGAGCACCGAGCACCATATGGGTGATGTCTATGACAGCTACATGTTGTAGTAGTGAGGCAGGATCTATACAAATCAGAGAGATACGACAACAAGATCTTACTTCTCTAACGATTCAAATATTTGCATACAAAACCGAGATCTGAGTGTAGTGTGTAAGAATTGAGCATTAATTTTGTGACAATCGATAAATAGACCGTACATGTGAGTAAAGTGAAGTATAGCAGAGAATAACTAGGAGAATACTGTGACTAGTTTGTACCTAATGTTGTACGGACACTTTCCGCCCATTCCTCAGCACAGGCACTGCAATCAGAAGCAGACATGCCGACAACAGCCGGTTCTACGTGGTTGCACCTGGCCCATACGCGAACTCTTGAGAAGCTGTTATTGCTGGCGGTACGAAGAGCTGCGCCAGGGATCTGTAATCACCAAACTTGATGTGGTAGTCAAATGAGGCAAAAAAAAGAAATATGAAACCTCTACGCTGGTGACAGCCTTTGTTGGTGCCACCCAACTGCGCAGAATATCGAGCTTTTCTTCAGGACTGAGTCTATCCTGGACTCCGGGTTCATCCCAAACCTAGAAAATTGGGAACTGACAATAACATACATTCTCTGGTTGTTATGTGGTCGCATCTACAATTTAACCCAAACGCTCAAAAAGACTGATTTATTCAGTAGAGGCACCTCACTCACCATAGGCCAGAGTCGTCGTAATTGGCTATTACGTTTTTGTGTATTTGTCATGGGCAGATACTTGAAAGCTGCTGTCAGAATCTGCCGACTTTGACAATCCTCATGATTCGCAACGATCTCCCATGCAAGTCCAGCAACTGTACGGAGGGCAGGATCGAGCTGGAAAAAAGCGCTTTTGTTAAAAGTGAGAAAGCAAGCCAAAACATAGTTCAAACACACACACACTCCCACCTTGGAATCGGTGACTGCTCGCGCTCTCCCTATTTGCTGGATTGCTGCAAGAACATTTCCTGACATGAGGTGAACCAGAGCAACAGGAACAGAACAATCAACGTTAGACCATCTCGACTTTGTTGGGCCATCAGAGTGATGCGTTAGGAAGTGCCGTGAAACTGCCTAAAACTCGGCAGTGATCATGCTTGCATGAATATAGACGTAGTGAAACACATGCCTGGATGGTAGTCAGATCACATCCTCTTAGGTTCGACATCAACTGCTTTTGATCGAACGATGAAGCTATACTGTCTAAATGATAACGTTATATGAGATTTTGTTATATGTCTGCACCTAGCACCTACCTTTATCGTGGAAGCTCAGTTCAACTTGAGGTATCAATGTTGGCTTGGTGATGTAAGAGGAATCATCAGGCAGTGACACACATCGCTTCGCAGACCCGTCCTAGAAAAAAGAAAATTAAGCGAAAAGCAGATGCTAACAAATATACGAATAACTGGATAATTCTGGCAAAAATATTGTAAAACAAACTTTCGGTGGCTGATAAAAGTATTTTCTGGTAAGCGAAGTAGTTTTGTCGGAAGGTACACCGCATTGAGCAAAATCATTGCGACCCCAACCAAATGTACGGCCATCCTTGGCAACCGCGATGGTATGGTTTCCTCCTGAACGCACGCGATCATTTCTTCATTTTACACTTTTTAAAAAACCAGCAATCAATTACCGAGCAAGCGTACTTACTGCCATTATTCGATAAAACAACTTCACTCAAAACACCTAGTAGCCAAAGTCATACTGCGGTTGCACGACCGCGTAAAATTTTGGCGAAGGAGAAAGGGAAGGAGAGGACCGGGCAAAAAAAGGAACCATAATGAAAAGCAGCCATATAATCGGGTCAGGATACCCTAGAAATATCTGCAGCATGCGAGAAGGGCAGAAGCCGGTCTGAATTCCACGTTTATATGAGAATCAACGGAATGAAAGGATGTCCCAGATCAGTTTCTGAGGAAAAACCAACATAAGCTGACTTAATATACAGAGAACACAGCTCGGCTAAATTATAGAATTTCGTATCCAAGACGGTTGAGACCAAAGTTCTTCAAATGAAGGAGTAGCAGGACTCCTCTATTTTGCCTACGAATTGTCCTCTCCAAGTATATCCTATGCGAAACTAATTGTCAATTTTCGTAATAGCACATACAGTAGCTTGCTCTACGACAACTATATGATTTTTTCATCCGTCTCTCAAAATTTGGCGGAAATGATGTTGTGTATCAAAGACGTTTCAACGTCTGAATAGATGAGTGTATGTCAATTTTGAGGCGATTTTGAATCGCCAGATGGACACCGAATAGCGCATTTTCAGTGTTTGGTAAGGCTCTAGAAGCCTTTCAAACTTCTAAGTAAATACAGGGATCGCCACATGGGTTAAGTTTATCATTTTAAGAAGCAAAAGTTAAGTGTTTGAAGTCAGAAACCTATGAAAAAGTAATTAATGGCAATTTCGTGAATATTTCAATTGATTTTTCACCAAAAACCGTTATACATAGCAAGTGATAACTTCAGATAGCCAGTAAGCTAGAAAACTTTGTTTGGTGTTTTGGACAGTGGACTTGCGGAGCTTTAATTGGACTGTTGAATTGAATGTCTGCGGAGAAAGCGCATCTCTTAACCGTCTCCACGAATATATTACTGCTTTAGTTCAAAGTAGAACTTTTTAGATTTGAGCGCACATTTCTAAACTCTCTGCCTTATGCCCATTTCTTAAGGCGCAAATAACTTTGGCAACGCAAATACAAAAACTTCGACAAGAATCGAATACAACAGACAACCATACATACCACAAGCAACTAGTTCCCATTTCACATCTCGAGGATCAAACAGGATGTGAGGTTCGCCTCGCTCAGTTTTGTTTCCATGTCCGAGCTGATAATCAAGAGCCTAAGAAATATACGGTTATTGATGCAGAAAATTAACCGATTCAAAGTGGGGAGACTACCCGACATGAACATAATGGGATAGGAGAGAGTCAGCAAAAAGATGACAAATCCACCTTTCCCCAAGTAAAAAGTGATCCTTGGTCTGTCACCACTGCTGAATGAGACAGCCCAGTAGATACATCAACAACAGTGCCATCAAGTAAGTGTAGCACTTCCCGGATACCCAAATCATCACGGGGCGCATCCATAGGCAACAAAATCTTTGGTTTCTCCATGTTGGGTAAGGGCTAAAGTAACGGATATAACGCTGCAAAGCGATGTTCCAACAGACTAAACCGGACCATTTCCTCTCCTTCTTCATCAGCTATCCGCTTTAACTGTGCCATTCGCAGCCTCCTCACCACAAACATCTTCATCTTCACTTCTTGTGGGTTTCGACCCCATTCAAAGATGCGATCCTTATCGGTGATGGCAATCGAATGATAAAAACTAGTAGCGATCTTCACGAACTGGAATGAGATGGACGTGAAAGACCTAAGCTCAAGATTCTTGTTCAAAGACCTCACTTTTAGATCGCTGTCGATTGGGAGAGGACGAAACTCGTACTGTTTCCTAACATCCTCATCCGTTCCTAGTTGCCCATAACTGCCACCTCCAGCAACGAGTATTCTCCCAGATTCAGTAAGAAGAACAGTGTGCACCCGACCACAACTCACGGATTTGATTGGTTCACTGAACAGCAACGTACAGAAATGGTTTCTTAACAAAAGGAGCTCACTCTAGATGTACTAGCGTAGGAGTTTTGCGATCTTCAATGTTGCGACCTCCCATGCCGAGCTGCCCAAACACGCCCCAACCAAACATCCATAGTTGTCCTTTCGTGTTCAGAACAGCTGAGTGGAACTGACCAGCAGACACTTCACGAATTGATCCCCATTCGGCCTCCACAAGCTGAAAATATAACGTTTAGCGTATCACACCTAAAATGGTAACCGATGTCGGAAAGACGCTTCGAAAGCACTTGTAAAGGATGAGAATTAGCTTACAAGGTTTTAATTAGGTCATGACGCGGCAGGACAAGCTGCAAGAAATCATACATGCTTAGCTAGAGACACTGCCTAAAAAAGCTGCTATTAAGTCGTTCCGAAAGTGATTTTCAATCTTTTGACCGAACGCCAAATCCATCAGAATGAAGATTTATGAACGATTTAGGATATATTCAATGCAGTTTTTCATTTTCTTTCTAACATTACATAAGTTGAAAGTTGCTGTTGTCTCCAAATTTTTAGCTGACTAACGCTACCAAGCCTGAAGTAAACTATTTCGAAATTTTTGTTTCAGACTTCGACGGGAGATTGAGTAATTCACAAGAGCAAACTTAACAGTGAACGTTACTTATCCAGACTTCTGCATTGAATGCGATTATCCCATAAAAAAGTTGGTTTTTAGCACCAAGTTACTTGACGGTTGCCTGGTAGCATCCAACACTCAGTGACACATTCTGAAATCGGGCAAAGCTCGACAATCTTGCACAAATAAAGTTAAACCATAATCAAGCGTTAAACGCCTAAAAAATGAAATTAGGGACTGGAATTCTGTTACCTATTACCCTAATTTCACGAGTACAGGACGCACCAGTTCTTTTTTCAATTCGAGATCAAATGACCCTATACGGTGCTGCGTATTGCCTGAGAGTGTCATGCAGTATAAGTTTCGTTTTCGGAAACACACCGAGGGACTGAACGGCTCTCTCAAAAGATAGAAGAAAATGCGTCTTGTACTCGTGAAATTAGGGTACTCGCTCATAGTTTTGCAACTTCCTCCATAACTTTTCTCTCTTTGCATATGGCGCGCTAAAACTTCAGTATGACCTAAATTGCAATGTGGCAGCGAGTGAGCACAAATGTTCGACTTTTGATAACCAAACAGAAAAAATTTGACATTTTTCTGATACTACTGAAACATGAAATTTCAGTGAATTGCAAGCGGAAATGAAGCCGCACCAAGCTTCAATTGAATATATCGACCCAGAATTACTGCAAAATTATGGTCAGAGTTTCGCTCATCAAGCGTTCTCGGAAAACTGAACAACGCAGCTGAACGAAAATTAATGCTAACCTCCGTCAACAACTAGTGAGCGATCTCAAATTTTACCGAGGCTGTGCCATATAAATACATGCTGAATACGACTATCATATTCAGTTGCCGTCAAATTGAAATTTCTTTTCTACCTTGACCCTACCAAAATGGTATTGTCGTGCAAAATTCGTATAAATTTCGAAGCAGTGTGTCGAGAAACACCCACTCTCCCTCCCCTCCCCCCGCCCAATCCGTGAATTTTTTCCTCTCCATTGTACGCTTACCGTAGCCCTTATACGGGCTGCCAGAACACAAATTACTGTATTCGTAGCTCACATCATAGTCTAAAGATTGTCAAATTGTGTGCACCATATGCAGAAAGATAAAAGTTATAGAAAAAGTTGCAATACTTGATTAGCGACCTGATAATTTCGCAGAATCGGTAAGAGCAGGAAAAGAAGCCTGTATTAAGAAGGTTATATTACTGGGTTTACTATAGAATGAAGCCTAGGTGTCTCCAGCGCGCAAGATTTAGAAAAACTTGACCATGGCAAAAGTCTTGAGTTGCCAACTCTGACGATCTTCTAAAGCTCGTTGGCTGTTTTGCAATTGAAACAGAACTTTTGAGAAAAGATGAGATGCTGCATCGAATGTTACCAAAACCTTCCAAAATCTTTCTTCTGCGCGATGTGGCTATCTCGAAAAACACGAGATTTTTGGAACGACCAGATAATTGTTCGAAGTTTGCAAGTCTTTCAATGTTGGAAGAAATCATTGTTTACCGGGATATCATAGAAAATTCAGGCTCGCAAAGAAATTTGATGAGAAACTCAGCATATAAATCTACGGCAAGGTCTCAACTGATAATGACACGCTAGTCTCTCAACTATTGACCTATTCGCGAATTCATATCAAAGTTTCTTACAAAACAGAGATTTGAATCAAAATTTCAGCGAACCTATTCGACAAAACTAAACTACATGTCGCCTGAGCTGCAAAAGGAACAAGATGTACATCGTAGTGTGAGGGTCAGTAGATGTGCTTTGCACAGTACAAGTAGCGTCGGGACAAAAGGTGAAGCAATGATTAGAGTGATGGATATTCGTACAAAGACACAAAGAAAATAACATCTTCAAAAAGTTGTATTTCCAGCTTGACTAACAGTAAGCATAGATTTTTTGATGAAGGTGAAGCATATATGCAACAAGAGATTCGAATATATGCAAAGAGCCCTACCTGCGGTTCAGAAAGCGGTTCAGAGTGACCAACGCCACATTGACCGAAACGATTTTTACCCCAAGAAAAAAGGCGACCTGTAAAAAGAACTCGAACAAACGCATCGGTGGCGAAAACTATAAACTAACCAGCACTAGTTAGAACTAAAATATGCTCTGCTCCACAAGAGACTACGCGGGGTCGTCCTTCTACATGAACAGTATGAGGAAGCTAAAATAACAACAAACTTCTTCTCGATGAGAAAGCAATCAGAAAAAATTCAAAGCGATAGCAACATTTCTACTGCAACAAAAAAAGATGATGTAGACAAGTACACTTCTACCTGTAGCACTCGTGGAGTTTTGGGACCGGACGAAATTTCCAATGTGGACTTCCGGTTGGTTTTGTTAGAAACTTCTGGAAAGAAAAAAGCTTTATAGACTGCAGTTATACAGTTATATACCATATAAAACGGTCAGCATATAAAAAGATATAAACTATATACTTAAAAAAGCCAATTAATTGACTATATGTATGAGCAATTATGAGCTCCACGAGCCTCATGGCGAGTACAGGAGTCATGTATAAACTTCGAAATTTGAGATCGTGATTGCAGAGGCGCTAATGCAGGGAGCATTTTGCTGTGGAGATAACTTATGTTCCTCTGAGAATACTTCCAAAATGATTCCAATGTAGGTCGCATGAGCCTTTGATGAACAATATCAAAGGAAAACCTTGGGAACATTAGCAAACTGAGTACTAGGTACAATACAGATGGATGTTAAAAGGTTGTGAACTCCCAAAATATTAAGAGACATCTATGATGAATTTTCGAAAAACTGTATCTTTTGGAACACATGCTAAGATCTCTATAACGCTTGCAAAGTGATAGAAAGTGCTGCTCGACCTTAACACATTGACGACAACGTGACCCACACGGTGGGTCATGCAATGACTGCCACGTGGGACAATGTGACCCACATGGTGGGTCACGGCTTAAATTTTGTCAAAATGACTGCTATCTTGGACTACAATCGTTTCAAAAGTTCTTAAACGCTCTGACCCTAGAAAATACTCTTGCGTTTCTCATCCGCCTTATAGAATCACTGTAGGTATACTGTAGTTGACGATCTGCATGACTTTAGCTGAAAATTTTCGACTTTTCTGTGAAAGGCATTGTCCCACGAGGCAGACAACTAAAAATGCACGTTGTCGTCAACGTGTTAAACTGGTAGAGTATAGACCTCATTAGAACCCAATATGGTGTAGCCTACTTGAACAAAGCTAGTTCCTTTCTTAGTTAACATCATAAGAAAGATCAGAATTCAGATAGACTATTTGATTGCCATCATACCTGAAGCTTCGAACGGTCTGTTTTGTTGATTGGTAAAGTCTCCCCAAGTAACCAAATTCCCTTCCATAGTGATTGCAGCAGACCCGTTGGCACCACAGCTAATACTTCTGAGTGGAGCGTCATTGTGCTGAACATGACTACAAACGCTTGCAAAAATATATCTGTGAGTTACCTGAGTCCAAGATCCTTTGTCACTAATGATGTACATGGCCGAAATAAAGTAGAGGACGGCGCAATGTCTGGGAAACCTCAAATACGATTTTGGCCCGAATACGACTTTTTTCCCATATTTTTCACTTACAGTGACATATATTTAGTGGAAAGCCTCAAACAGGTTTCATGATGAGCTATGGAATTCAGAGCTGCTTGCCACTCACAAAGATGTGATACAAGCACCCCAGCTTCTTGTTCCGTGAGCTCTTTCCACTCCAAACAAGCAGCGCATGTCATCATCTATAGGAAGAGAATTCGAAGGAAGAAAAACAACAGTAAATCTTGAGCTTACGAGAGATCGAGCCGATGGCGCAGCGGTCGTCCAAAATTTTGTGCCATTGTGCAGCAATTCGCGAAGCACATCCGCTTGGCTTGTTCGCTTACGCGATGCCAATAATGTTGCGCTCTTCCAAAGCTGCGCCTCAGCACAACTTTTAGCGCCTTCATCAAGATCTGCATGACGTGAGAGGAAAGCACTAAAACCGACAGACTGTTCGATATGCAACAGCATCAAAAATAATGAAAGCATAAACCAGTGATCCGCACAACTCTACGAGATTCATTAGAAGATTGACGGCCGACCCACCTCAGCTCGTTGTCGATGCTCAAACGAGCGTCAGATACTGTATAACTGTCGTCATCAGGAGGTGTTAAGGCTTGGCTTCTTCGCACATATAACTCGACAACACGTTTTCGCAACGGAGAATGATTGTCTGTCTCGATGGCCCGCAGAAGCTTAAATCATGACAAAAATCACTTTATATGATTCCATAATGGCTCGCGGGTAAATCACATACAACCGGACAAACAGAAAAAGGATCAAACTGTTTCTGACGGATATCAAAAATGAGAAGTCTGCTCATAGTATAAGAAAACCAGATATGTAACATGAGAAGGAAAAATAATACAATCTGCCACTGTTATTGGACATACGCACTTCTTGATCAGTTTCAAGAAAAAACAAAAGAATGTCTACGTGCAAAAGAACAGCATACCTCAGGCAACAGCTGTTCCTCCTGTTGATAGCTAGCAAATAGATCCACCAGGTTCTCCATGTTGATCTGGCATAGACTGGTGGATAATGATAAGTTCTAACAGACTATGAATCGACCTACCCCCACTACCTTCGATAAAAGCAGTAAATGAGAAAGATCAGAAGCCGACAAAGACTTTCCACGCCTCGCAGATAACAATGTTGGCACCACACTGCGCTGAAAATGATGAGAATTGACACAATGGCTAAGAAAAATATACAAGATTCGTGGAAAACCGCGATTAGCAGGGAACTATGATTAGAAAACCCAACTGATAGATTGCCACTTCATTTAGGAAAAATTTTCGATGAAGCATTTTCTTTGAAACTAACTGGTTCGTTTAAGGTACAGTATCACATGTTATACACTTATTAGGCAATCAAAAGATTGTGGGTGACAAAGATGAACAGTTGTGGTAGAAACTTCACGACATTGTAATTGAGTAGAAATATTGGAAAGATCACCTGCAACTGAGTGCCGTCTATTGAACAGGCTCTCGCAACCTGCTGCACCGCCGACAAAGAAAACGATGGAACTCGAAATAGGAACTCTGCGGCGATGTTCTCCAAAGGACTGAAGACAGTATATAGGTGATCAAAAGATTGATTTTGTATACAATCTAAGCAAAAAATTACAGGAAATGAAGGCAACGCAGATGTAGCAAGTACAGAAATGAAGAAATGTGAACAACCATTGAGGAACTACGAGGGAGAGTATTTGAACTCATATTAGCAAACAGCTGCTAGTCAACAAAACCTCAAGGCAGGCGGCCGTCGATGCTCAAAAAGTGAACGTATCTTGAACTTTCCCCAACAGAATGTTTTCGTTCATGATTTCTTAAAAGTGCGAAAGATTTGTGTTTAAGATCAGCCTGAGCACCAGCCCATCCATCTGACAAACATATCATAGACACAAAACTTGTCAGGTGAAATCTTCACAAATTAGGATGAATATCAAAACAGTATTGCCATGAGCCATAGCTACAGCAGATCAACAGTGAAAAGATATACACTGCGCCTACTCATACGCTATATGATCAAAGGCCGCTAATCGCGTTAAAGTTCGGCAACCGTGTTGTACGGGTAGCAGAAATGTTGGTATGAATTCTCAGTCGCACCCGCCTAGAAATTCTATCTGATCAGATTACAAGTCTCGCTTTGTATACTGTCGCATGTAATAAGCTGAAATTGTAGATCACAGTAAAACGACGGAGACTCGAATGTTAGACAAAAAAAAAGTAAAATGACATGTGCACCAAATGCGAATCAACACTTTCCATGCCTTTTTCCTGAGATATTTAGAAAAACATACAATTCACCAAACAACGTAAAAGCACACCGAAACAAGAAATAAATGATGTGAAGGGTAAACCTAGAAAACTTGCCTGTTACTACTCTGTACGATGCGGATTAAACCACGCTCGTTGATGAGCAGACATGAAGGCAAACGAGCAGGTCGCAAGGATAGAGACACAAATCCTAGCGGTCGCCATTCACATGCACCTTTTATAAGGGAGAACTCTAGTCGCACAGCACTCATCTCAAAGTAATTATAATCATTCTCATACATCAGATACTAATGTGCAAACGTACTCCGAAATGCATCGCACTCCTCACTTCTGCTTGCTTTGAAACTGCGAATAGAACACTTCCAGTGTAATGCACCATCCAAGTGTCTGGCGGTAGCTGAAGTGATTACATGAATTTCTGATTGATTTCACAAACGTGAGTTCAGTGTTCTACGGCAAAAACACAAAGATGTCATATAGGCCCTAGATTAATGGGAAACTGAAAATTCCAACTGGATAGTCGATATAAGCTCAAATGCTGAGAATAAGCAAAGGTCAAACAACAGAATAATGAAGCAGTATGGAAAAGGACGTGTTACATCCCCGATAATGATGTATGAACAATTTCGAAGATGAGAAAGTATACTCACTTTGTATCGTTTTTTGGGGACTCCTCCGTTTATGGACAGACTTGAGTGTAGTTCCACGAAACATCCAGCACTGTCCAATACAGTGATGCCCTCCGAGCAGATGCCCAAGTGTGAAGTGGATGGTTCAACCTAAGCAAAGAATTTGTCTCAACATGGTCCACATATGAAAAATGCCAAACCTTTTTGAATTCAGATGGGATACATGCTGTCAGGACTTCAGTGAGGCTTCGTCCTCCGTTTTCAAGGGGTATAATCCACTGTGCTCCCGTGAAGCTAGTAAGCTGAAGACGTCATATGAATATACAAAGACTGATGACCACAGCTTCCGCTTACCAAAACATCAGTGGCATCGTCATCCTGTACGATCTCTACTTCGTGTATGCTCTGCGGCGCGCTTAGTTCCGCGATGCATTTACGACTGCTCAGATCAACTAGGAGTATACCACCTCCCTGGAATTTATCAGGTTGTAAAGAAAGTTGAGGCACTTGCGAATTTTTTCTTCAAATCGCTGTAACTTCGAGCAAATTGATCCTTTCTCAGAGCTACAAATTTCAATGCAAAGAGAATTTCGTCTGCAACATATATTTGTCGTGCTGGCTTTCAGCACTCATAGCGGTCCACCAGCATGCACAGAAGGGAATAAGGTAGTCAAGAAAAGTGGCCTATTTGTGCAGGATTATCTCAGGCACGCAAATGCTGTAGTTATACAGAACTCTGCTAGGGCTGTTATAATGAGCATTCATGTCTTTAACACGTTGACGACCGCGCGCATCCGCGCGTATGCACGCCCTGACCACCTTTTAGCACTTTCGTGCATCAATTTATCATGTGTAAACAAAAAGTTCTCAGGTAACTTCTGTGTAGTGATAACACTGGTGGCCTGGTTGTCATATAGAACACACGGCATTGCGGTAGCTGTTAAAGAGTCTAAACTGCAGCCGGAGATCATCAGTATTTTGATGTGGTCAAAAATGGCTCGGTCGTCAACGTGTTAAGGGGCCACCAGCAAAAATTTTTTTCCAGAAAATTTGAAAAATCGGCCATTTTTTGCCCCCAAAAATGCACCATTATTTCGCATGAGTTACTATGAGGTCTTCTCGTTCTGCACAGGGCGGACAAAATCTTTGATTAGTGCGAACATTGTTGGGGTAATGTCTTACACATCTTTTGGACCCATCACCCAGGCGCGGCGATCCCTGCAGAAGTGACGTCAGTGCGGAAAGAGTTGCAGTGAGAGGCAAGTTCGACAGCTTGTAATTTCTGAGCACAAATCGCAAAACTCGAGTGCAGCTGCAAGTTAGAAGTTGACAGGCTCCTCAACCAGATCGCTCATGATTTGGACGAAATTCTTTGAACTGCACAGAAAAATGGGCACAGGAAGAAAAATTGCGAAATTTTTATGGTTGGAAAGAATTCCTTTTTTGATGTGCAAGTCAAACACGTCTTGACATCGATAGAAATCAGAAGCGGTACTGAGAAGTTTACGCCTCGCTTTACTGATTACTGTACTTGGTGTCAAAGTCCGACCGAGGGCCAAAAAAAATGCGTTTGTGAAATTTTCAAAAGTGCCCCGGAACTTTCTTTACAACTTAATATATTGTTCGACCTATGAACACCTATCACAAAACTTTTGTCTGATCTGTATGTTTTCTGTGAAAGAAAATCATGAGAAAAGCAACGAGGGCAGATTGCAGGCATCATTATTTATATACTCTCAATAAACACTACCTTGTTCGACAGAATCAGCAGAGGTCGTGGAGGATTCTTCGTAAGAAAACATTTCATACATGTCGGAGTGACGAGACATTCGTCAACAATAGGACTGGGAAGCGAGATAAACACTGAACACTGCTCAGGTAACCATCTCGAACTCCCCCATGGCACATCCTGCAGTAAAAGCGAGTTTAGAAAAGCATATCATGATTCAGATTTACTACAAGAGCCCTTTAAGACGAGAAAACTAAAAAAACACGATGTTGGGAGTTGTATGAGGATGCAAGTAAATTCTTGCGACCAAGTAAACCAAAAAGACTCAAACAAGAGTTATTACCACGAGTATCGCTCAAGTTCTGAGTGTGATCCATGTTTGGCTTTGTAATTCAATCAAGTGAATAAAATTAAGAAACTGCACATTTCCTCAATAAACGGTGCACTTAAACATATACTGGATCAACACAGAAGTAGGCATAATTCATTTGCTAACAAATAAAAAAGTAAAGCCTCTGTTTCTTACACGCGTTAACGTTCACTCAATTCTGCCCGATGATTGGGGATAAATATTCTGTATCACCAATAAAAACATGGGTAAACTTCGCTCATGCGTTCGCGCTTCAACATGAAGCCGATGCAACAGCTGCTATCACAAATACTTACTAATCAGTACAAGTGTACTGCTGACTGAGCTTCAAATACCCCATCAATCAAAATAGTCGGGAAAATTGACAGGTGCTTTTTTGTACCCATTAATAACAGCATATAAGAAGAAGACTGACCATCAAGTTCTTGAGCGGTGTCAATAGCACATTCCCATCCGCTAGTCCAAAAACCACGAATGTAGCCTCTGGCCCCAAACATACAGAAACAGGCTCCACTTGCTGAGCATAGAGGGAATGTCGCCGAGTCAGACTACGCCTTGGCTTGTCGTTTGCTAATTCGCAATACGTTTGAACGTCTCCTTAACGAAAACAATCTCGAAAGAACAGATGTGGTAATCGAAGTGACGCTATATGCATTTTTTATCGATGTCATCAAAGGATATGCAATTCTCCATTACGAAAGGGGATAACTTATAAGAAAAAAATTGGAAAGTGATCTTTTCGACATCAACTTGAAACTGAAAACCAAAAAAGTTTCAGCAAAACTAAGAAGCGATAATGTTGTGAAAATGTTACCTTGTGAAGTCAACAAGACTACCAGAACGAAGTTCTCCTCAGAGATATAGGCGAAATCCAAAATAGAGTCATCCGGTCCAAGCTCGTCGAGCTCCACTTCACAAGCGTATGGATTGGGTATCATTCTTTTTTGTGCTAAATAAACAAACATCAAGAAATAGCAGCAAAATGTTTCGAAAGATAAAGAACTGTCGTTTGCACCTTTTCTTGAACGACGTTTCTGAAGTTTAGTCGCATTACGTTCACTGACCGATTTCTGTTCATTAAACATTTTTTTAGAAACACTTTGTCGGAATAAAAAGCAATGGATTGGGCTACGAATTGATGGAAGACTGAACGAGAGACGGAAAAGTGATTTGGGTGATAAATGAGTTTGCGCAGTGACCGCTCATCCGATCACCAGTCAATAAAGTCCACAACCTCGACGTTGATTGATATTTCATCAGGGAAGTGCAAACAGAGTAGAAATGCATCGTGGAAGCCTTCATCAATAAAGAAGAAAGCGATGTAAGCCCACCTCATTAGACAGTGAGAAAGATCGGTGTCAGAGTGGATTACGCGCTCCAACGACAAAGGGTCAAAGAATAAACAACGCAGCAATTTCTCCACCATGGATCGTACTATGATCGCCAGCTCAATGTTCAGACGATGTAAAGTCTGTTTAATACCTGCTGCTCACATGAGCCATTGCGTGCGGTTAATTCGACCAACGTAGAGGATAAATGAAGAGCACTCTCGACTGTGGCACAAATAACAGTAAGCAGCAATATTTCTTGCTTGAAGAACAGGCAAAAGATACATATTTTGATAAACTGGGGCGACACAGCAGGAGGAAGCGAAGGCCTTGCTGCTTGTACTCATGGGGGCTTTAAGCGTATAATGGTTCATTCATAGTACGCCTGTACCTTTTGATGCAACGGTAGGAGCCAGACTATATTGCCCGCTTCAGCAGGACGCGGTGCACTTACTGACATTTGATGTCACGTTGTAGGGAGATCAACTCGGCATGCGCGATTTCCCCACAACAAATTTTTTTTGCTAGTACGGCTTTTTATCATTTTCTCATTCTGCGAGGCTCTTTCATAATCTCTTCAAATCTAGGCGCCGCATCTCAGACGCTACTTCAATTGCCGTCCAGCATGACGCCAAATGACACCAGCTTATTAGGATGCGTTCATACTGATTCCGAAGCGGGAACAGTTCCAGCCCAGCGTGGGGGGCACGCGGAAGGCGACAATCGGCGAAAAATGGAGGCTGTGTATCATCCGTCTCAATAACTTTCACGGATTTCTACTTGTGATTGAGTAATGTATCTGCCACCACCCCCCACCCCCGTAGTCCCCCGGGGTGCCACTTTGACACCGGAGAGTTTTTGATAGGCAAAAAATTGGGGATTGTCGCCTTCCGCACCACACCCGCCCAGCGCTCAATTCGAGCACTGTTTCCGAACTTTAGGATCAGTATGAACGCAGCCTTAGTTGTGCAGTGTTCTGCTGAAGCGGGCAATCAGTGGGTAGAGGGTAGAGGACTATTGTCGCCGAAAGGGGGCGGCCCTCGTGGTAATTTGCAACAAATACGCATCCTTGCACATGCATAAAGATGCGTTCTTGCAAGAAGTCCGCGTACCCACCCAGATTCGGCGACATAGTCATTCGTGGGTAGAGGACTACATGTCGCCGAAAGTGGAAGAGTCCCGCGAGGGCAATGCAGCAGATGCTCAGCTTGTGTATGTATTGGAATGCGTATTTGTTGCGGATGCGCGGCGGACCTCCCATTTCCGGCGACATACAGTCCCCTACCCGATAATCGGTTAGTCTGGCGTCTACCAATGACGTTGGCGGCTGGAAGGCGACCGCTCGCGCCTGCGACGCAGTTTGCTCTCTCTCCCTCTCTCTCGCGTGCTCTCTGATCATTCTCTAGCCTTAATTAGGTCACGAAACCCCGTCTTTCAGCCGCCAATGCAGTCGAATCAAAGGGTTGGCCTCATGTGAGTCAGCGAGCGCCGAGTCACTTTTATGCTCAGGGTGCCTTCATACCGCGCCGGCAGCCGTCGCTAGCAGCCCGTAGCAGCCGTAGCGGCCCGCAGCAGCCGCTACCGCTTTTGTTCGTAGGAGCAATAAATCATCAGATTCTTATTGGCTTGAGTACATCCACCTAAGCTTCTCATTTCCACGCTTTCCTTCCTTTGCCGCCAATATGCAGTGCCATCTCATACACCATACCTAGGAGAAAAAAGCGTGGAAGATGGAAAGCGTAGGCGGGTGCACCAAAGTATTAGGTTGATGCACAATTCTTGCACCAAGAAATACAAAAAAATTATTTTAAAAATGTTCAAACAAACTAGTCAATTACATGTTCTGCTCTATGTTATGTATATTAAAAGTAGTATTTTATAGTACGTTTTAGAAAATCAATTTGAAACAAAATCGATAAGTCATTTCAAAAAATTCGAAATTTGTAAATATTCGCGGAGACATCCAATCACTACCAACTTTTCTTAGTTAAAAAGAGCATACTATAAAACTTATACCAAAAATAAATTTAAATTATAGTAGACGTTTTAGCAATTTTAGTGACTAAAAAACAAAAAATCACTTTTTGGAAATTTCTCTTATTCACCTTGTAACGTTACCATATGCCCTCAAGGACTTTTGGCTCGAGCACCGTCAGAAAGCGCAAGATTTGCTCTCTCTACTTTGTATCGAACCAGAAGATTTCATCGTAGCTGGATGAAGTAACAGAATTTTAAAAATTTTGGTGCAAGAATTATGCATCAACCTAATAGTAAGAATATGATGATTTAACGCTTCCATGAACAAAAGCGGCTGGCGGCTACGGGCTGCTGGCGGCTGCTGCGGGCTGCTAGCGGTGGCTGCCGGTGCGGTATGAAGGTACCCCCACATCAGTGGCGTACCGAGGGAGGGAGGCGGGGGGGGGGGGGGCGCCCCGCCCCCGAGAATGGGTCTCGAAATTTTCGAAATATACTTACGTGGGTTATAAAAATGTGCAAATGACTTGTTTATTCTTGTAAACAATCAAAATAATTTTTAAAATTTTTCAAAAATTCAAATTAGCCTTATAAAAAATTTTTTTTCGGGTGCTAGAAAAAATTTTTTGTCGCGCCCCCCCCCCGAACGGAAATCCTGGATACGCCACTGCCTCACATGGATACAAAACATCTCTTTTCACCGCGCTTTTAAGGGTATATAACAAGTGGCATACCCGGCTCCGCCCGGCCTTGTCAATACAAACGCTTATTATATTCGTAATCAGCATGCTCACTTACTCACTTCACTCACTTACTCACTTATTTCCCCCTGTGCCAGCTCCCATCAGTAGCTTGGAATTTGCAAATCGATAAAAGCGATATCGATCATTCAGGAAAATAGCCGACGACATCCCGCACCGAAGTCTGTCTAGAGTTTGGTCAGGACTGCTTCAGAAATAAGAATTATTATGGTGGTATGGTGCATCCCCCAGAAGTGTTCCCATGTGAACCATCAATTGGCTGTCGATCGTTTTAACATTTCAGCTTCGGCGGTATGGTAGGTAATATACTATATGTCCTATTGTCTTGAGACCTGGGCATACTGTGATAACTGATTTCAATACTTTTCTTCAGCCGTACAGGTTGTTATAGGTGACACTTTATTGCCCAACGTTTCGGCACAACGCCGTCGTCAGAGGCTTAAAAGGAGTCAGTCACTTCGATTCACGATCTTAGTCGCCAAACATCTCCTCCCACTCAGCCATTCGAATGGTCTTTAGTGTCTTTAGTGGAAGCAAGAAGTCTGCGACTAGAGTTTGACTCACCAGAGTGCCACCGTGATTTGCAGCAGTATCAGCTGCTTTAGATGTGCTTGGACCGACTGCGGTGTTGAGTATAGACAGTCGTGTCAACTGACTGCGATGTTGAGAATAAGCAGTCGCGATGTCAACGAACTGCTTAAATAGGACAAATGATCTTATAGTTTGCAATATGTCAGATACGGCATTAGATCTCCAGTTATATATAACTGTTCATTCTTGTTGTTGATCTTGGGGTCACGGACAAGAATGTAGGACTCTTCGAGGGCCTTTCTAGCGGAGATATGGTTTTCGTAGGCCAAAATTATGCAATTAATGTCGAAATCGGTACCGCTATGATCTATCTTTCTATGCTTTCCTAGCGGACTCATTACGTTCTGCCGCTTTTTGCTAGCCAAATGCTCGTTTACGCGCACGCACAGTGGTCTACCTGTTTCACCGATGTATATGGCAGAGCACGCTAAGCATTCTATTTGATACACAACGCCATTACATATAATGTAGGATTTTGTTAAGGAACGTATATCATGGTTCCTTAACAAAATCGTGAGCCAACTTCTAAACAAGATACCCGCCCATTTGACCAATACCAATCATTTCCTTGAGCTTCTACGTCAGACAAATTTCAGTCAAGAATGCGTAGTTGAGTCGTTTGACGTAACATCATTGTATACCAATGTATCCAATGAAGACGCATTGCAAGCGCTTTCTGAGATGTTGGAACTGCATAGTAAAACTATAACGATGTACACTCTCAGCAAAGCACGCGTCATAACACTCATCAAGGAATGCTTGCGTTGTAATATTTTCAAGTGGTCGGGCCAACACTATGCACAAGTTAGAGGTTTGGCAATGGGCCAACGATTGGCACCCGTCTTAGCAATCTGCTTCATGAGCAGAATTGAACAACCTGTGCTATCGAGAAGCCCGCTTATGTACTGTCGATACATCGACGATTGTTGTATCATTACTTCAACACAGTCCGAAATGGACGAGTGTTTTAGACTATTAAATCAACAATCTCAGTACATAAGCTTCACGCGGGAGAAACCATGCAACGGTTGGCTACCGTTCCTGAATGCGCAGCTGATGGTGGTAAATGACACGGTACAGGTCAAATGGTACAGAAAAGAGAGCAGTAAGAATATTCTTCTGCATGCACAATCCGCGCACCCGACAGCCGTGAAACGCGCCACAATCCGGAATATGATCAAAACGGCAGTCAACATCTGCAGCGGCGAAAAGGAAAAACAAGAATCACTGAAGATGGCAGCTGAAATAATGATTGCAAATGGTTATACTATGCGCCCTAGACGAACAAAGAAAACATCAGCAAAGGCGAGTGAACAGAACATGAACAAAATACCTCTGTGCCTCCCTTACATCTCCGAAAAGGTCAGTACTGCGATAAGACAATGCTTGATACGAGCACATTTGGAGAACGAAGTTGTCTTGGTGAGAATTCCCCGAGACAACATCAAAACACAACTGGTACGTAATCGAATTTATGACAGGACTTGTCGCGAGATTGCATAATCTGCCCTTATGGGAAAGCTGGAGACTGTTCGAAGTCTGGCGTTGTGTATCAAATAGAATGCTTAGCGTGCTCTGCCATATACATCGGTGAAACAGGTAGACACTGTGCGTGCGCGTAAACGAGCATTTGGCTAGCAAAAAGCGGCAGAACGTAATGAGTCCGCTAGGAAAGCATAGAAAGATAGATCATAGCGGTACCGATTTCGACATTAAGTGCATAATTTTGGCCTACGAAAACCATATCTCCGCTAGAAAGGCCCTCGAAGCGTCCTACATTCTTGTCCGTGACCCCAAGATCAACAACAAGAATGAACAGTTATCTATAACTGGAGATCTAATGCCGTATCTGACATATTGCAAACTATAAGATCATTTGTCCTATTTAAGCAGTTCGTTGACATCGCGACTGCTTATACTCAACATCGCAGTCAGTTGACACGACTGTCTATACTCAACACCGCAGTCGGTCCAAGCACATCTAAAGCAGCTGATACTGCTGCAAATCACGGTGGCACTCTGGTGAGTCAAACTCTAGTCGCAGACTTCTTGCTTCCACTAAAGACCATTCGAATGGCTGAGTGGGAGGAGATGTTTGGCGACTAAGATCGTGAATCAAAGTGACTGGCTCCTTTTAAGCCTCTGACGACGGCGTTGTGCCGAAACGTTGGGCAATAAAGTGTCACCTATAACAACCTGTACGGCAGAAGAAAAGTATTGAAATCATTTCAGCTTCGAATAAGTGCTTTAAATTTGCTGGTTAACATGTTAAAACGATTTGACGATGAGCAGCCACGTTGATGGTACCTATGGGAAAATTTTAGGGTCATCTCTCTATACAAAGCGCAGGGGGGCCCATCTGACGTATCGCTGCCGCGACGATGTCAACAACTGCGCCTGTCTCGAATGCACCCCACTGCACCCAAATTGATGATTCATTTTTCGCTTGGGCCTGTTTCCCGAGCTGTTGATCAGGATGCACTTTCACACTCAGTTTTGAGAGGTAACCTTGATTGACCACATTTCAACCAAAAGGCACCCCTATTTCAGTTATGGTATCAGATTTAACGGAACTTAAACATTTTTTGATAGATTTTGAGCTGAGTTTGTAGAGCACGCTTTGCACTATTACATAGCCCTAGTTGCACTTCTTGCATTTGCATTTCAAGAAATATGAAAAGTTTTTTTGCGAAAATATTAGGTTGATGCAAAAGTTCTTCCCGCCCAAAAATTCATAACTTCCGATTTTTTCAACCGATTTGGCTGCTTTTATTTCTGTATGAAAGAATAACTCATGCTTTTCATAATGACATCTTAGCTGCTTGCTAATGATCATCTGTTTCATAGATACGAGCGATAGAAGAAAATTAGTCAAAATTCGAATTTTCTGTGTAGGGTCATAAAAAATCGGAAACTTGCAAGAAAAATCGGAGCAGTCAGTATTGTAGGTTCTTTCACCAGCTCTTTCTAACAGTGCAAAGCTTGCGCCGATTGAGCGTCTCTATGAAAAGTTATGATTTTCGAGCAAGCAATACAAAAGGGCGAATTTGATTTATTTTGGCATTTTTCAGGGAATTCATAACTTTTTATAGAGACGCTCAATTGACGCAAACTTTGCACCGTTAGAAAGAGTTGGTAAAAGAACCTACAATACTGACTGCTCCGATTTTTCTTGCAAGTTTCCGATTTTTTATGACCCTACACAGAAAATTCAAATTTTGACTAATTTTCTTCTATCGCTCGTATCTATGCAACAAATGAACATTAGCAAGCAGCTAAGATGTCATTATGAAGAGCATGAGTTACTCTTTCATACAGAAATAAACGCAGCCAAATTGGATGGAAAAATCGAAAGTTATGAATTTTTGAATTTGGAAATTTGGAACGAACTTTTGCATCAACCTAATAAATGCACGCAAGCTACGATCTCAGGCTGAAAAGTGATTGTGGAACTCCAGACGTATTGAAAATTTCATCTTTGGTTCATGTTTGGACTTCACATTTTGATCATTTCTTAGTATTACCTGAGCATATTCATGAAAACTTTCAACTTTTGAAATGTTTTGTCTGATTCGAATCATTTTCTATTTATGCTGATTCTCAAAAAAAAATGTTTTTTGAAATACAAGTACTTTCCGTTCCTAAATTCTGCTGTGGGAATCCGAAATGTGACGCATAGAATAGGTTGAGTGTGTGTTGCTGAGCTTTCACTGAATTATTTGATTATCAATGGCTACTCATATTTAGCATATCAACATGCTGAACCGCTTGTCTAATCAAGAGTGGGTCTAATCTTCTATAACGATGAGAATGTCGCGCTGCATTAATTTATAGAATTGTATGGCAGTCGGATGTTAAAGTTTGCATCTATTTGCTCTGAAAAAGCGCCGCTGTAGTTTTTCAAATTATATTTGCGGAAAGCTAAAACATACGAGAAGGCTGATTTGAATGAAGCAGAGAATGTATATCCGAACATGGCAAGAGGAACGCCTAATTAAAAAATCACCGCACTTGCCGGAGCTCGCAGAACTTCGCGTCCATATCCAAATCTTGCTTTAGAATGGACGATTTGTGAATCCGAAAGCACCATTCAACTCAAGTGGATGAGGAATAACATATAGGAGTGCCTGCTTGGGCACAGTAGTTGGTCGAGCCACGGAACATTCCAGATTTTGCTCACGGCGGGTTGGTCAAAGTGCTTATTCATTGCACAACGAGTAACCTACCGCAACAAATCTGAAAAGATCTTGACCGACCATAGTGCTCAAAAGGCACGTTCATTCATGCGTCTGATGCGTTTGATGCGTCTCGTAGACTAAGCAGGGAATAGTCAGAATTGAGTGCAGACAAACCAAACGCTGTATATCATCGGACTTTCTTGAAACGCTGCTCACAAATATAGTTTATTATCTGTCAAGCGACTATCTGGGAGGAGTTCATTTAAATGTGCAATTCATCTAGTAGTTTGTGGCGCATCTTCCACGAATTAGGTTTCAAAAACACTTATCTAGGTCTTTGGTGAATGCACTTCTTCCTTGTAATCATAGTAACCATAGCCACTGTAAATCCGCGCAATTAGGCTGTCCTTCAAGGAAATGAATTCGTCGAAACTCGAAAAATTTCTTATAATTGAACGCTCATAATTCCTCCCAAATACTCGCTTGTCAGACAAAAACATATTTGAAATTAGCGTTTTGCGAACCCGATCAAGGATCTCATCAAATTGCTCTTTAGGGCTCCAAGACTGCATCCGCATCCGGTATAACAATAGTCAACGGTAATCAATCGAACAGAAGCGGTTGCAGCGAATCTCTGATGGAAGATTTTGGGTGTGTGTAGAATGTTTACACTAAAAACATAAGTATGTTTATTGCAATATTGAAGCGTCAAAATTCTAGAAGGAGAGAAAATGATCCTTCCACTCTGATCCGTCCTCCAGTCTCCTTGGAATCAAATGTTGAAGGTTCAGACGCTGCGCTGCTTCATTCTCGCGTTTCAGTAAATGTTTTGTGTAAAACAGATATGGAGAAAATTATTTATTACCATCTATATAGAAAAAGTGTTTTAGAAGCACAAGATTCAGGATTTGTTCTTTGATAAATTCTGGATTGGCGGTAATCTTGCTGGCGGTCTCTCCGGGTTTCTTCCAGCAGTTGAGGTATTCTGAAAATGCAATTCTTGGCAAAATTCTACAGTTGTTCACCATTAGAACTTGAATAGCAGCATGAACCTCTACGTTTATGTAAAATTTTACTTCAATAAAATCTAAGGATGAATTTTCACCTTCAATTCTTCTGGTAAGTATTGCATGAATGGAACTCACATTCAGTTGTTGCAAAGTATCAGCAGCTCGTCGTTGGGCCATGGTCTCTGGCGTGACCTGAGACTGACCACGAGTGGGTTTCTTCACTGAACTCGAGTCGGTGACTATATTCTTGAAATATGGAATACGTCCAAATATGCTGCGTAACAGAATACTACGAAGTTCGCGGTATCGCATGATGTAGATCATAAAGTTCATTGTGGTCTGGAATAATGGCACTATCGAGATCTTTAGCTATTGCTCTTCTTTTCCAATTTTTATTGCATTTTACAGGATGGGTTTTTGGAGAGACTATAAGTTTGGCTGAATTTTTGAGGAACGAATTATTGGGTCAAGGGAACTTAGACTCTTTGGAAACTATTACACAAATGACTATTACGGTAAACAAATTTCTTACCTTGCTCAGAGTCATGGAATAGAGAATAGTGGAATATTTGAGAGTTATATCGAAGGGATTTAGGAGCAACAGTATATCGGGAAGAAACAAAAGCACCATCGAGTTGCAAGTTACCAAACCTATATAATGATGATTTTTCTTTCAGTCTATCAGTGCACATTACGCCAGAACTAAGCCTTCGGTGGCAACATTTGTGCTTAACTAACCTAGAGTAATTTTTGCATTCCTATGGGTTTTCCTCTGCTGATTCGACAGACTGCTGAGAGACTTTGACTGGCTCTAGAAGAGAACGGGTAAGTTTGCCAAAGATTTGGCTGGAACTCTAACAGTACCGATGTTAGGTAAATCACAATAGCCAGATATACAGCAGCGCTACCAATGTTTGCTAGAATTCGCATGCCAAGCATGATTCCATACGGAATCGGATGAGCAGCGCCATTCGCTGCGATGCACAGAGCCGAAGTCGGGGTCTGATCATCCCATAGTACAGCATAATTTGTGATTAGCAGTATAGCCGTGAGCAGATATGGTACTGAAAAATTTGCTATTACCGTTGGAACTATACTAACCTTTTTCAAATAACTTTCATAGTTTTTTTTAGCACTAATCGCTGCCTCTTTCTTGTCTTTTCAAGTGCGAAGATTTTAACTTTTGTAAGCCAGTTTCTTCGAAAGGACTCAATTGTATCCAACTCTAAGTGACCTCGAAAAGTTTAAACAGATTTTCGACTCTACTTTTTCGTCATTTTCTGACATTCTCAATCTGCTAAGCCCTAGCTTCAAAACCTGTAAAAATATGTGGCCTTGAAAAAGCGAAAAAGTCACTTTTGAGTTCTTTGTAAACAAGGAGTAGTAGACGCTTGTGCTGCGAAGTTGCTTTGTTCTGCTCTCAAGACTTTGGCACACATCCAAAAGAACTCTCGAAAAGACTTTTCAGCATCTTTACAATGTTAGGGCATGTTTCTGGACTCTTTACAGTGCAAATTTGGTTTTACGCTTTTATATCAATGTGTTATTTTATACTTATGTTTTTCCGATACAAAATTTAACGCTCAAATCTTACATACTACTACATTTGATTTGTCAATCATAAATTCATTTTGATTTCTAAAAGTTGTAATTTCGAATGTAATCGCCCAAACCTGATAAAAGTGAGGTGGTGTACTTGTTTCCAGCGGTGATGTACCAAAGTGGAGCCACAGAAGAAACGAGGAAGTTTATAGACATAGCCATTGGTACTAGTCCCAATAGCGGAGTAGAGATGTCGTGAAGAAAAAGAGCAGGATGCAGAGCACACTCCCATCGATGATATGTTGCTTTTACTGCAATGTGACCAAATTTTACTTGCTATAATTTTGAAAATTGCGATTTTTTACAGAAAAGATTTAGCTAGGCGACTAGCTATTTCATGAAGATGTGTAATACTGTAATTATAGCACCCCTCAACAATCGCACAAAATAGAAGTTTAGAAAAATTCTTAATACTTACACATTCCAGCCGCCTCCAACCTTAAGCGATGAATTGCGATCAGCATAAACGCTACTGCATAAATAGTATCGGCTAGTGCTTGAGATACGATCATCAGGAATTCCCTTCTCTTGCGATTACTTTTTGATCCTAAGATACAGATTGCAAGAACTCCATTCGAAATGCATACGATAGTCCCTAGAAGATGAAGTTTAAGATTTTGGTTTCTTCACTATACTATAGACCTCACCTTCCAGTAGGTATAAATACATGTTTAAGGCAAAACTCGACATCTTTGCTAGCTTGCTGTACTGATGTCAACCTATTGTAGCGAATCAACAGATGATCTAAATTTTATGCTCAAGTGAACAAAATTTAAAAAAATGTGCAGAAAGTAAACGTAAAGAAAGGAACCCAGAAGAAGAAACTGGAATATTGGATAACGAAATCGGGTTTATTCATGCCTGTCTATATTCACCTAGCTCACATTATCTTTCCTAGTCCCATTATCAGAACCCATTAAATGAGCCGCAGCTATCATTTTGACCTACGCTATGACAATTTCCGACGTTGACTCATCACTTCCGTTCTCGCTCGCTGATCATTGACTAACCAGAACGTTCTTGACATACGGGGTTACGGTATTGAAATAGTAGAATGTAAATGACTGCCAGACATTCTCATAGTTTTTGTTGAGATGTAAGGTCTGGTTCAAATTCACAAGTATGAGATAGACTCATCGGACAGCAGACTACATTAGATATAAAACAGTGGGGACCTCAAAATAGAGGATTTTGCAACTTCGTTTTCGAGAGAGCTTTGAGGAACATTAAAGAGATTTCAATTTAGGGCTCCGTCTCAAGCTATCAACAACACTGTATGTATCATTTTAACTGAAACTTTCATTTAGGCAGAAGAGTATATTGCTAAATTGAGAATGCAAAAGTGGACCATTAAATTTTGATAATTAGCAAACCCTAACTTATGATACAATTTTTGAATTATAGAAGAGATAGAAGTGTAGTCTGCATGGAACAGAGTTATTCTAGTAACTTGTATAATTAGTAGCTGCATCGTTATTTCAGGGATAGTAGATCAAAAGAAAATTTTGTCTATATTTATTTGCTTAAAGTTTTCATGATTTTCGCACTAAGATGATGCAAATCATTATTTCGTACTTAAAGAGATCACAGAGCAAACTTCGAATACGGATTTGTAGTATGCGATGCTAGTTAGCTGCATGTCTTATCCCTAAATGGGCAGACTGCCTCCTTGGGAAAAAAAGGATAATTGACACCTTGTTCTATTTCTACGCCCTAATGATAGCCCAGTTGGTGCAGTTTGAAAATGACATCAAAAACCTGTTGCGGCATTCTTTAGGAATACAGTATGATTTGGGTGGGGCTGCAATGAGCGATGCTTGAATTCAGGTGAACGTATTAATTAGTTGTACAGCAATGGAAAATATGGAACCAAACATGTAGCAACAAACATAAATAAAACAACATATAACAAAGCGAAGTTCATACTATACTAAAATTAAGTCAAAATCCATTAATAATGGTAATAAATAATCAATAATTGAATCTCAAATTACATACTATAATACTAAATAGGATTGTATACAATAGATTCAGTCAACTTTGTTCTGAATCCTTTACGGCAATGTCCAGGCAGTCTTAAGCACCATTATTTGTACCGTTATTCTATACCGATTGGGAGGCTCCAAATGAATCGTTGAATGAGAGGTAGATCACATAATTCACAACCAGAAAGTTCATCTTCACACTTAATCCCGGACAGTACTTTTGAAATACTCGACCATAGGATGTCTGCGAAATTTTAGTGTTGAAGATGCGATTGCGATTCGGTCTGCACAGATCAGAAGGCAAACTAAATTTTGTAGAAGAACTTTTATGGGCATTCTATCCTGGTGAGCCGTACAAAAAAGCACCACTTTCGTCTGTTTAAGATTCGCGATTGAAGAGGAGCCTTCTCACTAAAATTCGGTCTTTGATGTATGTACTCAGCATGAGGGAAAGAGACTGCACATCAACATTATTGTAAAGTACTGCTTTGCGTTAGAATGTCCGGTGTCCGTTTCATTTCCAAGAAAAGTGAGCTCATGCCAATCTTACAATAACAACGCGCTATGTCGTCTATCTTCTTGTCTGTGTGCAATCTATCTGTCACAATATTCGTAGAGCGTGTTGGTTACTTATTCAAGCAGCATATGCTCGATCCTGCACAGAAATCTGATCTGCTCTTTGAGAAAGCCCAGACCTATGTAAAGTAGACCCACACTTCTGACCTGCATTGAGCCGGTATGCACAGAGTGCGCCACAACCGTTGGTGCGTGTATTCCCAAGCTCCGTACGAAGAGAAAACGGGCTCATCGAAGGATCAAGTTCGCTGTTTTTTAGCCTTATACCATCAAAATCTAGGTGGAAGATATAAATTTGCCTGTTTTCTTTTTTCATTAAAAAAATTCGCGATATTTCTTCGACTTTGTCGCATGCACGCTCTTAGATGATCACAAATTTGCCCAACATGTACCTTATTAGTTATCGCATATCTCAGGTAAAAATCTCGCAGAAAATAGAGTTGATTGACTTTGAAAACAATGGGTATCAGAGTGTCTGTGAGTGGTTTTTAGAAAGAAAATTTTGACTATTCAACGTATGCGTGAGCATGCGTTTTTTCTTTTACAAATATTGTTTCTTGCAGCTCTGACGTCTCTAAATCGTTTTGAGAACTCGAAATGCTTCTCATAGAGTATACTTACGGCATTCTGTGATATGAGATCCATATCAATTTTTTGACTGGTTACTATGACACTGCTACAAATATTTTAACGAGAATAACTTCCGCGGACCAGGTAGACTTTAGGTTTCTTGGATTCGTATGAATAGGAAATCTACATGCCCTGAACCTCAAAAACTTTGAACGTCTTGGAAAATGGCTTCGAGAAAAGATGATAGAATCGCTAATCTAATGTCTTGAAAACAAAATGAATGAATTTGATGACTATATTCATCCATCTCGTGTCAAGGGAAGGATACCGAGCACTGGCGTTCAACATAAGGACAAGCATCATTAAAGTCTTTTTGGGACATTAATAGCTATATTCTGTGACAAATTACGGACCTAAAGGTTCCACCCTGTCTACAGTTTCACTGATGAAAGGATAGCGCAGTTGGGAGAGCATTTGACTTTCAGCTCATAGTACCGGGTTCAAATACATCGGTAACCATCGTTTCTGCGTTTTTTTTGCAAATTTTCTTACTTTGCGTAAAAATCATCTCAAGCACTGAATATCAGTAGTTTTCGTTGTGATTGCGCTTCTAAACACATTTCTGCCATATTCGCATGAGACAGGGCGCCATTGCGAGTGGATATCCTTTACTCGTGAAAATCTTTCTTTGTGAAAAGTTACTAATCGCATGGCTCTGTCCAGTATGAGCATTCGTGTAAAATTGATGAGTTCTAGTCTAATCTTTCGTTCAAAAGCGGTCAATGCCAATTATATCTTTTGTTTACCAGGAGATTGCACTATTAAGGGTCTTGATGAAGAACACTACCGCAGAAACCAGCCTGATTCTGAACAGCAGTGGTATAGTATGGGCTACAAAAATGAAGAGTTAAAGTTATGGCACATTGAAAATTGAAATAAGACCAAAAATATTGCGAAAAAAAAGCATCTCGTGTGACAGTCCCAACTTGGTGCGATGAAAAATTTTAAGCCTGAGGCCAGGACAAGACTCTTCTTCGATGATTTTTGCAAATTCAATGCTGCTTGGATATAAAGTAGAAGAAACTTGAAACATAATAAATCAAACAGTATAAAATAGTGGACAGATAGCGATAATAAGTTCAAAATAGAACATGTAAATGAGCGAGAGAGGCATATTCATCAAAAATAAGAGTCTTTAGTTTTTACTTTTTTGGAATATTATAAGGTTATAGGAGGGCAAGAATACTGAGAGGACATCAAAAACGTCATTATTGTCTACTTCACCTGCTTACTTTTCACATTATCGCAGTGAACCGAATGAAAGCAGAGCTAAAATGGACGTATGTTTGATTCATTGTGAAGAAGATATTAAGCTTGGCCAAGGTCATTTGACTCTATAGTATACTTTCATTTTTATTACAAGCATTTTTTTCGATATTTTTGGATATTTCTTACATTGGATATAACAAAAAATACAACGTAAAGCACTTCTGTGCAAGAATCTATAATGAATTTAATTAAAATAATTCGAAAAAAAGTATGTATCTATTGATTTGTGTGACCAAGGAGAAGGACAGTTTTTCAGACAAAATTCTAATTTCCTAGCGTGAGAGAAAAATGGAATTGTCTGATGGTTAAGTTGTTTACAATGGTTACCGGAAGACAAAGAATATTCATTATGCTCATATAGAGGACGATGCTTTCAGAGCTTCCCGAGCCGAACAGCAGGTGAAAAAGAAGTATCTAAGCCTGTTGTCATCGATGACAGCAGTAATTAATTCTTACCCTTACCTGGCTATCACCGACGCAATAAGCTATTTCCGTTGTGATCACGTTCGGAGCTCTTCTAGAGATGGAATGGGCCGTAGAAAGAGGTGATTAATCGCGAGTTTACGCCCTTTGGTCGTGTTTTCATGTGTTTACTATCAGCCGCCAAAGGGCGTTCATAAAGACCAACCTCTCGGTTCTTTGAATTCAATTAGCCTGATCGCCACTGCCGCTGATTTATGTAGACGGTTGGGGGCTATTTAGCCATTCTCCAAGCATATTAGCCTTGCTGCTTAGCAGAAAACATCTGCTTGTGGCAGACCTGTAGAGTGATATAACCTTTACTTTGGAAGGTTTGACAACAAAACAGCAAATTAGTTATCGCGAAAACAACAACAAATTGAAATAGCACCTTGCAAAAGAGACTACTCGTACTGCTATTATTCCTTAGAACCCTAATAAAGCTAAGAAAGGAAAATGGTTGAAGACTTTGCCACATTTTGTTTAAAATAAAAATTCTAAATTTTAGCGAAAATTAGACATGGTAAAAATGAAGGGCTTTAGTTTTTAGCAATTAGCTCAGCGCTTGTTGAAACAGCCACAACGAAATCATAGCTGCTGGAAAGAGGAAGAAATTCTGCATCGGACACTATTTGAACGATTTGTCTTTCGTCATTCTGAGCGATTTTTGAACAGGTTTAAAAAGCCGCACGAACTTTCTGATCCACCCAATATAAACAAGTTGTGCTTTTGTGAAGTACTCAAGAAAATAAGGAACTGCCAATTTCGATC